TTCAATTCCTTTGTATTCAAGCTATATTCTTGCCCGTTGCTTTGGAACACTACCGCACACGTCACTAATCAACTCTAAACTGTCTGCGACCGTTTTCACATTTCAGAAAGCTGGTTGAAGATGTCGACCTGCCTCTGTAAGCATAGCAAGGTAACATCAAATTCATCATACCTAATAATAAGTACTAGCAAAACGATACCAATTTCTTCCTAGCCCGGTAGACAGTCGTCAGAGAATATAATAGAGCCTTGATGATGTTCAGGATACGTAGGCAAGATTATTAAAAAAAAACTGAACAATGTTGCTCTTTCTATTACACTAGTAAGGTTAAACTCCAACGCGCCTGTCATGTAATAAAACGTCGGTTAGGCATGTATTTAAAAATGCACGCTCACACGTTATGTATGAACAAATTTACAAGTGATGTGCTACCGTATAGTTCCCCCTTACTTATGTATCTGCTACGATTTGTACAGTATTTTTGAACACAAGTAAAATGACTTTATCGTATCTCTATTATATGGTATTGGAATATTTTTGGTAAATTTGCATTTCAACACATTTGATGGACTAATTTGCAGTATTCTTGAAAATTGAGGAGGTTTCTAGAAAGTTGTTACTTCTTTCTCAGAGTCCTACGAGGGCCGATATTTCAACCAAAACTTTTTTGACGTTCGACCTCCCTGTAAATATATCATATTAATATTAAAATGATAATATATTTTATATATGGCTATGTCAAAAATACTGCTGAATTGAATATGATAATAGTCAAGCCTAAGCTAGGCTGAGAGGTCTTATTATCATTACTCTGATAGAGGAAGCATGGGAAACAATTAAAATATGAGAAACCGGCAACCTATCATGGTCGGAAAATGTATTAGGCAGAGACAATGCATTCTAGAAGCTATGGTCTTTTACATAAAATTGAAATTTACGGCGAACGTGACAACATTTTTTATATCACAAAGTTACTTTCTGGTTGCAAAATCATATTTGTTTTTGAAAATATAACGACATGCCTAAGTAAATACATAGATTATAGGATATGGTGACCGTACATTTGAACCCATGTACATTTGAACCCATGCGTATATCCACGGGTTCAATCTATATGCGGGTGCTAAAACCCATGGGTTAGGGTTAGTATGGGTTTAACTATCCGTGAAACAAAAAAAAATTCCATAGGTGCAATAGCATACAGGTGCAATTGTCATGGGTTCAAATGTACGTGGGTTCAAATGTAATGGAACCATAGGATATATATATAATTTCTGCTATAGTTTGACAAGTCAATTTTGAGCAAGTGATCGAGTACAATCTTGATTTACAAGTTTATACATAATTTTGTTTGAAATTTACTCATATGCATATGACATAATTTCATACTCATGCATCGACGTGGCTGCTATAACGCGTATGTTTCGAATCTTGCCGAATTTCCGGAAAAATTTGTTACGTTTTTTTGATTGTGGGAGCAGCTGCCAAGTATTTTTAAATTAAGTTGCCCGTTGATAGTCTCATTAGGACTGGTATTCCTCATTTGAAGTGTATATGATGTCATATTTAAAATAAGGTATTGCATCAAATAATAGCTACCAATCTGGTTTCAAAGAATCAACAAAAATCCTAGTCCATATTTAGGTGTAGCTGAATTATAGTCATTTGCGTACTAATGACGTTAACATAACCTGAAGGAAACTCCTAATCCCGTATTCAATCAGTGATTTATCTTTGCCTTGATTAGTACATACAGTACATAAAAATGTATCTGAATATCCATAATGTGCCGCAGATTTGGATCAATTGTAATTTGTAGTTGTAATTGATGTAATTAATTACAGTTTTCCATGTAATTGTAATGTAATTCAGGCATTTTCATGCTGTGTAATTGTAAATGTGCTAAAATTTTGACTTATTTTTGACTTATTCTTTCCATTAGACCAGTGGTCACCGAACTACGGCGAAATATTTTTCCAAGGGTCGTTTTTCGAGAGTCGCCTTCCTTTTTTATTTCATAACATTAGCCAATCAGCAAGATGCAAAAAATGACGTATCAATATGCCTTTACGCATCCGTTAAGACACTCAGACAAATTTTCAGTCGTGATTTTGAACAGTACCTCATTTTGCGATTTTGAATGCTATTTGTTAGTTTGCATTTTGAAGAAAACCCATTAATGTATTGCAAGAAGAAATCTGAAGATTTTTTCAGGCTTGCTTCTTTAGCCAAAGATTATTTGGGACTAACAGCAACATCAGCCCCGTCAGAATGAGTTTTTCAATTGCGGGTACTTTTTATACGGCAAGAAGAAATTTATTGGGGTCAGAAACTTTTCGCAGCCTAGTTTTTGTCAAGCGCAATCCAACAGTTTTTGAGCAAGGGAAACTGTAAATACGAACCAAAATGGTATTGGACAGGTTAGTGGACACAATGATCGTTTTGACCAAAACTTTTGGTATTTTGTGTTGTTGTTCTTGTTCTTTGACATAGTTATTGAAAAGTCGCTTTTCTCTTCGATTACTCGACCAAATGCTCTGGAATTTTCAGTGGTTGGAGATGGAATTTTTTCCTAGAAGGTATTACTTTTTTTATTTCTACATTTTGTATGAAATCTGATATTTCGTCTAAGATTTTGCTGTATTATTTTATCCATGGGAACACCGGCTGTCTGGTTTGATTCTTGCTACGCGAAACTCGGAATTTTTTTGAAGGTAGCGGTAGCGTCAAGGGCAAGGACTGCTTTGCTCTGTGTAATGTGTCTATTTATTTGAGCATTGCTTTGTTGTAATTGTAAATGTTATTGTAATGTAATTGTAATTTGATATTTTTTGCACGAAGTAATTGCAATGTAATTGGGAAATTTAAGAGAGTAATTGTAATGGTAATTGAACTGAATTACTGTAATTGATTCAACTCTGATGTGGCGTATATACATACCAGTGCAGACGGCCAGTCAAATAAATATAAAATTTATTTTATAAGTACAAATAGTTTTATCGTTAATAGTAAAATATCTACCACACCTTAGATTTGGACACTGCTCCCCTAAAATGAAAAGTTGAGGAGCGCACTGGTCATAAAAAATAAATCATTGAATAAAATAAACATGAGCCACACTAATAATTGGATTATTGAATTACGAAAAATAACTTTTTGAGAATTAGTAGTCAGTCACCAGTGACATGTGTGCTATGCCGAGAAAATTGGTTTATTCCATCATTTCTGCCATCTAACTCTGTTCTGTGAACTTGATAACCATTGAGCAATCTATACTAATCATGTGCGCCAGATATATTGATATATAAGAAAGGTCCAAGTTGGCAAAGAGTTTGTGACAGGTTGCTGATATTATGATTCAAACAATGAGCCACTCTAACACATGAGGTTTTGTCATTGTCTATACATAACAAACACTCATACATGACAATTTGTAAATTCTAGTCATACCAAGTACCAACATAGGTATATTGTTTATTCGTGTTTTAAAAGAATCACTTTTCGGAAGGAATATACATAAAACAGTTAAATACTCTAAGAAACTTGAATAATTTCAAAAATCAAAGAATTCACAATAAAGAGATTATTAACACATATAGTAATAATATAAAACTTTAATACGCAGAGCTAACCGTTTCACGTTCCAAAATCATACAAATTCATTTAAAAGTTCCCGATGTTCACTATACACATTTAGCAGTTTATTTTTTTATAGCGAAAATACAAACTGTACAAATAAATTGTGAAAATATAATTGCATTTCAGTGTAAAGGGACGCGATAAACCAGTAATGCGGTTATCGAGCAGCATCACCTATGAGAAAGTCTAACGTGAGATCATACCAGGGAAAAAGCCAAATCTATTAAAAGCCGCCTTTTAAAATGTGTATTTTGAGGTAATTTATTTATCACTCGTTTCAATGGCAGAAAACGACTTCTGCCGCAGTAATCATGGCAACCGCTGTTGATGGAATAACGAATGGCATGGACAGGTAACCATTCAATGGCTGGGGCACAATGGGCTGCTTTTTTGTGCAGTACCGCATTTTATTACACAAGCATAAGTTCACCTCGAATTTTTCCATTTTTTCTTATATTGCGTTAGTCTTTTTTTCCAATTTCGTTGTTGCTCAGCTGTGACTTTACCGGTACCAATCTGAATTTCTGCAGTATCAGGCTTGAATGTCAGTAATGATTTGAATGACCTGATAACAAATGTCTCGACGGGTCGCATATAGGATACTACTGCGGCAAGTCATTTGATTCTTGTGTTCATCTGACACGTTAAGGTGTGTCATCGTCTAGTTATCAAGATATAAATTTAACTTTAGGCATGCCAAGTAGCAACATAGGTAAGTCAAATGGGGCATTTTCCAACACTTTTGTACCTTTATATTATTATCGATATAAAAATCATCTAATCATTGTACTTTAAATCGCAAATCCCGTATTATAAAAGCGTTGGATCTATAGGCCTATGCAGTGGTTCCCAACCTTTTATGGCTCGTGGCCCGTTCCGGAGGCTTCTAGCACTCATGTTTATCATTTCAGCGGTATTTATAATACTATTTTAATGGATAGATTCCAAATCTCATTATGTTCAGACAATTCATACTCAACAAAGTAAAAACACCCTGTGAAATCCCTTATCAAGCAATGAAACTAATAAAAACAAGGGATGTAAAACCAGTTTTGTGCAAAGCATTCATCATACTGCTTTGTGTCTCCCTTGGGTGCCATGGGACCTCAGTTGGGAACCGCTGCTATGTAGGCTTCCTGCATGTGTCTGTGATTGGGGTATTACGCAAATAATACAAATACGATAATACGATACAGTGAAGAAAAGTACAGATTCGATTGAATGACTATTGATACTGTGATTCTCATTCTCTAATAATTGACAAATTTGAAAAAGTAAAAAATATGGAAAAACATTCAAATAAAGAAAAACAAGTTTCAAATATATCTGTAAATACAATAATAAAATAAAAATTTCATGATGTCGTGATAAAATTTAAAAGTTTGAATAAAGATCGAATGATTTCAGATATTCCACAATAGCTTGATAGCAGAACTTGTATTGATCCTGAAATAAATTATAATTGTGTTTTAGAAACCAAGCAGCGAGACGTAGTATATTTTAATAAAAATTGACTAGTATTTTTGAGTAGTTGAAACTATAATTTTTTTGGCCATTTTTATTATATATTTCCAAATACCTTAATAAATTTCAGATACATAGAAAAAAGGCAATAATCCTGGATAAGAGTGTTTTATTTGTGAGGTGCATTATTTTTCTTTCAAACGAGTCTCTGTTGACGCATTCACTTATATGTTTTTTTTCAAAATATTTCCATATTGCCGAGTAGGGAGTAGGCATAGCTTAACTACTATACTTATTGCGGTTGACTTAGTCATCATTGGCTTAAAGTTCGAGATATCAAGCCTGCAATGCCAACACAATTAAGACTAAAACGAATTACTTGAGCATAGCAGCCACCGTACAATTCAGTTAGAAAATGGCTGCGCAGAAGGGCGTTCTTGGGTCGGTCGTCTTTTATATAAACAGTCAAACAATCAGTATTATTGCTTTAGGAACGTGTTTCGACATATACGGGGAGTGTCAGGTACTTTACAAACATTATTGGAAAACCTTCGGCAATATCATAATGGTATTGGGAAGCTTTCGAACTCAAAATGTATATCCGCGGCACGATAATAAGAAAGATCAACTATTGCCTGGCATTTCGAATTGAATAGTAATTTATTCGAATCTATTCAGTCGAAAATTTTGAATTGCCGCCATCTTGTTTTTTTTGCACGCAAAAGGTAGAGATGAAACCCTACATTTGTTTTCATTTAAGCCATATTTTCAAAGTGCAAAAATTGTCATAAACATATATAACATACATATGAGTGATGGATAATATGTTTTCAGTAATTTATGTGTCTGCATGACCTATTACTATAAATAAGTCACTTATATTTACAGATCTTCCAAGTATTCGAGTTTGATTCGAAAAAATATTCGATTCGATTCTGTAATCACAAGGCATTAGAAAATGCGCGATTCGATTCTAAATCATCATGTATTCGAAAATGCCCAGTACTAACCCGAATGCCCCATAAATGCGAAAATTAAAAATTGTGTATACTTGACAATTCTTACCAAATTTTCCACCATATTTGGTCTTCCATCTCTGAGATCTTTCACAATTCTGAAAACATCAACTCGATTCTCACATTTCAATCGATCTATCAGATTCACTGTTGCACAGAATACCCCGGTTCTGCCGATACCATCACTGGAATGCACAAATGTTCGTTACACTTTTAGTGAGGATTTTTGTAACGTGTGTTGTAATTGGACAATATTTTTGTGATAGGTATTTCTCATTTACACTCGGAAAGAAATCATAGACACGGCAGTTGGGATACCTAACCTACAAATACTTTTTGAGCGGCCATTTCATAAAACTAGTATATTAGTTTATAACTAGCTTTATCAGTTTCGATACCAACATGATTATGACCTCGCTAAAAGAGAAAATATTGTGAAATCCCAACGTGGTTATGACCTAACTCTGGCTGATACAATTGTGTCGTCTACCTCGAAAATTCACAATCAAATTGTTGAAAAATAAAACACATTATTACAGACGTACTAATTTGCATGTCTTTCGTCTTTGATTTTTACCCAACAAAACAAATCAGCATTTGCTAACGATGTTAAATGATTTATTCGAAATTTTGGCCATATATTTTCTGTTCTGTTATAAAATCACTAATTTGTACCCGTTTTTGTGTAATAAAATTCACACCTGCAATGTATCAGAGTGGCTCCATTCCCAACAGAGCGGATATTTTTCTGCATTTTATTAACAAGATCGATTATTCCTCTTCCTTCTTCAGGACAACTTGTCGATTTCCATCCAGTATAATGAAACTGAGTCACGGTTTTCTGAAATTGGGGCCAAGTATATATTACTAATTAGGTTCAAGCCCACACATACCTATAGCTCAAAATACAAAAATTGTTAGTGCTTAACTTGGCTCACTCCTTGGTGTTACAATAGGTTGTTTCTTATGTGGAGCCATATACAGAGATCAAGTGTAAACTTTTTCATAAAAAATCACTGTCTGATACAATCCCCCTTTTTACATTTACAAGTTTAGCGTGTTAGAACGAGTCAAATATCGAATGGGATAAATTATCGATATTAGGAAAAGTCTAATTGATCGAAATTACATATTTTTATTGTGCAATTCATATTTTGTGAAGTAGTCTCTAATAAAAAAAAAGGATAACAAGAGATCAACGCTCAATGTATGGACGTGAAGGTTCAATACCGAGTCTCAATACCTAGTTACCCTATACATACCTACATATTAATCTGTTATCTGGTTATTCTCATATGCATTAAATCAAAATTACCAGCAAAGTCGCACCGCCGCCGCGTCGGTGCCTGTCAGGCCTAAGATGAGCACTGGATTTGTTAAAAAGATGGCGGATTGGTATGACGTATGATCAAGTGGTAGCGCAATGAATGCGAAAATAACGAAGTTTCAAAATATTCGAAGTAAATTTAAAACTGAAATAATAGCGTTCTAGCGACTTCTACCGGCCATGCCATACGAGCACGATCGACAAACGCAAACCGACGACAATATGAATCTTCAAATACCGAAGATCAAAGACTCGAGAAAATCTCACCGGTTGAAATGAACTGTTCAATTTGAATTTTCTCTCTGTAATGGAATCTTTTGTATCCTCACTGACAATCACGACAGATAAATTCTTCCACTTTAATGGTTCATCTTCTTTGACAGGCCAGTACTGAGCACATTGTTCCTGAAACCATATAAAATTTTATTGACAGGTGGTCTTATTTTTACAACAGTCATCCCACTTGTCTACCACAGTTCTGAAAGTAAGTATATCTTGAGGGAAGATGATTACTAAAGTAATCACGTGAAATGAAATTTATACCATGTTATGCTTTGGGATAGATATATATATATAATAATTTAGCAGAAGGTTAGAGTATTTACACCAAGTGAGAGCCATACAATTTGGGCGACTGTGGGAAACGACATGTTTGAGACACTCAGACGGCAAAGTAAAAGCCTTTATACAGCGCTACGATAATAGAAAATTTAACAAGAGCACCATATCATAAATAACCATTGCAATATTATTTGAAATTAGATTTTGTAAGGATTTGTAGGATGACATTATGAAAGCAACTGTATGCACAGCATACACAATATTACATTTGAAAGTGTAATTGCAATATCAATTAGAATGTAAAGGGAAACATGGTGAGAGCCTTTGGCCTACAGCAGGGGTGGCCAACACGTCGATCGCCAGGTCTCGAGTAGTCGATCGCATCTGATGTTGAGTGAATTTAATAACATACCCTCAAAAATTGCCTTGAACCAGTTTCATGCAACGCCTGTTGTGCATGAGTCGATCGCGAGCTATTTTGACGATTTTAGTCAATTGTGGTCGAAAGCAGGTCGGTCATTCCTGGCCTACAGAAAAACTATTTCAGGCATTTTCATAACAGGTTACAAAAATTGCTTCTTATAATACAAGGAGTGGAACAAACCTCGTCTCCTTCTTTGAGTTCCGTCAACATAACGATTGTATTAACATTGTTATCTAAGACCGCACTCCAGAATAAATGAATGTTTGACGAAATTGGACCTTGAGATGCGATCATTGGACTTGACTCATCATAACTCTGCCCGAAGAGGAAGAAAAAAAAGAATTGAGTTATTTCGTTCGTTCGTAGATAAAATATGTGCCACTCCCGTATTAAGTGTACCAGGTCAGGGTTAAACCATGATTTTATTCCGATTTTCTTTATTTTAGTTCTACAACGATTTTGGGACTGTCTGTGTAAGCCAAGTGCCTTAGGTTTCAGTCCATTTACACAGCTTGATGTAAAATAGGCGAACAAAATTAGTTACCTCCATATTGGTACACATACTTCTGGAGTGCCAAATATGTATCAAGGGAGACGGCGTACTGTTTAACGTGTGAAGAAATGCATGAGGTATGTATTGCAGCAGTAGAAACAAATCTGCTTGTGTCATATTTTAAAGTTATGTGAAAAATCGCATTTTTGTAATTTTCAAACTGTACAGCTAAACCTAACATGGACATAAGGCATTATCTAAAATCAAAACTAAAACATTACTTTTAACTTTTTTTAAGTTATTATGTGGCCAGCACATTTAGGGGATCAAAATATATTCCGATTCTGCAGATTTGACTAAGGTCGACAGTTTGTACCAAGTTTTTCTTTCGGCATTATATTTATATTACCTCTACCCACGAGGCGTTGATATATGGATCCGGGATTTCTTCAGTTTGCGACGTTATTTTCACCAATGTATAGTCATCTGTAAAAGATATGTTATGTTTCAGTTTGGAGCATAATTTGACCGAAGGCATAAAAGTACGGATTCAAGGAAAATTCGCGGCAAGAAATTTCGCCGTAGGAAATTTTGCCGCAAGAGCATTTTGATGTAAAACTAGTATTTGTGATAAAAACAGTTACTTGAAGTTTTTTGAAGTACATTTCTATATAAAAGAAATTCGTTATATTCGTTATACCCTAACCTTGTAAACCTAACTGTTTTCATCACAAATACTTGTTTTACAGGAAAACTATCTTGCGGCAAATTTTCATGTGCGGCGAGATTTCTTACAACAAAACTTGTGCGGCAAATTTTCCGAACACGAAAATAAAGGTAGCTGCTATAAATTCAGATTAAAACATGAACGTCGGCCCTATACCCACGTTTTACGCTCCATTCGTTTTTCATGTAAGCGACAGCCGAACATTGACAAAGACTGATTTATACGTTTTATGTGATTGACTGTACTTATCATGTGTAGCTTATATTGTTCAAATAAGGTCAAATAAAAACGGCGCTCGAGACACCTATCCACCTTTTTATAAAACTCAATGTAAAAACAATTTCATTGAGTTCGTGGTCCATAAATATTGGGAGCAGAAATAAACAAAAGCTCAACGTACTCTGTATGATATTGTTTCAATTCATTCACTGGCAAGAGAGATGAACTCCGTTTTACAGTTTTACATACACTTAAAACAATTTTGAAACGCCGCTTCAAATTGCTCTATGTTGACATAAAATAAAACTGAGTGGATACAGGCAAAAAAGTATTCTGGTAAGGAGGGGACTGTTTGACCATTATTGGGTGAATCGTGAATCAGTTATAAAATTCGTGCATTGATTCAACAAGATGACAAGAGTAGTGAACGACTAATTTATCTATCGTCAAGTTTACAACACCTTCAAACATAACACAAGAGAGAACAATTAAAAAGAAATGAATCAATACAGTGAGAGTACAGCAACATTAGAATCTTGCATAATCAGCTTTTTCAGATAGCTGCTTATCTAGGCCTTCGCTTCGTACTAACACGACGGAACAGGAGGCTGATGGACATATCAGGCAGCTTACATGGGATAACTTTCTTTGATCTGCTCATGTTTACATTTTTTTCTGCCAGTCCACGCAGTTGTGAGTTTTTCATTGGACCAATTCGATCCAAATCTTGAAATTCTTTTCTCAAAGAAGATTCCCCATCAGGAGTCCTAAAAATATAGAGTAGACTGTCTTTGTCTCGACTATTTATGAAAAAAATATTTGGAAAAATGGAGTTGCAAGTTATTTTGGACAAAATGCTCGGTATACATATGCGGTATTATTTATTTGAGTTGAGTTCACTAATGACTCCTTATTTAATTTTATTATCTAAATCAACTTTTGTACGTTGTGTATAAGGTGGATATGAAGGTCAATCAACTGTCATATAATGCTTAAGCTAATCTATTGATTTCTTCACCTTATGTTTTCCAATTTTACTCTTGCTTCATCAGGAGATAAATCTCTTTCTTCAAACAAGATGGCTTCCAGGACGAGTTTATGAACGAGAACGTACTGATTCTAGATTAAAAATAATATTGAATTAATATTAAACATGTGAGGCATTACAGTAAGCCATAGTCGCATAATTGGACACTAAAGGGACCTATGTTTTGATAAATTGTTGTTGTTGTTGTTAGTACTTTTTTTTGTTATTTTTTATTTATTTCAGTTCTGTGACCTCAATTGATTTGTTTTTCACTTTGAAGTTTTGTGTGATGACTTCATCAAAATTAAAAATTGTTCATCGTGTGGCGGTTTCAGCGATCTGGTGGCCAGCGAAGTCGGGAGTTTTTTGATAAGGAAGACTACCGGTACTGCAAAAGATTCGATACTACTTCGTCTAGGCTTTCGTGTCCGTGTATATAAAGTAGTATCAGAGGGTATGTGGGTTCCAGTTAGACATAAAACAGAAAATCCGATTCTTCGGGAAAAAGTCGTGAGAAAAATAAATTAAATGATATAAATCCAACTTACAGAATTCTGCACCATCTCCATTCTTTGTTTTCTCATATTCAGAACACAAGCGAACACGTCAACTGATTCTTTAGTTTTGCTTTCGTCAAGTAAGATATCGAAGCCAACGAAGGTTCCTGTTCTTCCTGCACCGGCACTAAAAAACGAGAATAATATTAAACAATGGAGCAAATAAATGGGCACAAAGTCAAAAAACCAGTGCCGGTCGCCTACGCGACTAACAAGAACTATGGTAATCCCGTATGTGTACCAGGTTAGGGTTAGGTCATAATTTTATTTCGATTTTCCTTACTTCAGTTCTGTTACGAGTTCGGGGACTGTCTGTGTTAGCCAAGTGAATATAGTAATCACAACTTGATGTGAGGTACGCGAGCAAAATTAGTTACCTCCATATTGGTACACATACTTCTGGAGCGCCAGAACGAGAATCTCCAAACGATTCATAGACCTCACGTTCAAATATACCAGAAAAAGCGCGTATAAAAAGTGAGAATTTGGGAAACGAGAGATTGAGAGACACAGAAAAAAACGAGAAAAAGGAAAAAAAAGTCGAAGAGAGAGAGAGATTGAAGTTGTTTCACGAGGAAATCAGGTAAACTGAAGAGTAATAGCTAGCAATACCTGCAATGTACAACGATTGGAGATTCTGCTCCAATTTTCTCATAACATTTCATCACAGCTCTATGCATTCGCAATAAATTAGAAGTAGTTGGTGGTGCACCGTGATCAGGCCATTTCATGAACTGATACTGGTAGACATTAATCATTGCATCACCATCCTAAACAAAATAATTGTAGACTGTCACATAAGAATATAAGCACGCCTACAGCATGTATGAATTTCATTTTTTCATTAGTATCGTACACACACTGGAACATTTAATTCACATGGGCATTTTGGATTTGAACGATTTTATCAAAATAGATTTTCAAACCCTATTTATTTTTAACATACATTACAAGGGCATACGTCAGAGCAAAGGCAAACTATAAAATGTATTTTCGCTTCCTGATGCCAGTCAATGCTATGAAAACCGAAAAATATATTCATCACAATTAGTTTCGATCACAATCGGCTGTTTTATTGTATGTAAAAATCACCCAACGCAATAGAGTCAATGGTTTGTGAAAACGTCGCCATTTGTATATGAGACCATTACTTTCCTTTTGCTTCTTTGATGAAAAATTGTTGATTTCAGCAGGTGTTTAGGATACCCATAATAAAATTTGTTCAAAATGACAACTATTATAAGGACTCTAAAAATCAGAAACGGTGTGATCGTTTTCGCCGCATTTACATATATCCTGGAAAGATACACTCGTTTCCCACCTCTTTGAGGAACTTCACGGCCAACTTTCTTCTTATAAATGCACCATATTTAATCTCCTGTGTGTTCTCTACCAGTACAGAACCAAACTTTTTCGTTTCATTTTCACCCGGCCAATATTTTTCACATTTTTTCTAAACAAAATATATTCATCATAAAATACAACGTAAATCATTACATGAATCCATGGCTCTTATATATTGGCCATGTCCGTACATAAACTAAACTTTTTATAATAAACTAATATATAAATGAAAGCAAAAAAGTTGCTTGTACCACGAAAATACAAAAAGTACAATATCTATGAAGTCATACAAGTGCTTAAGAATGACCACTGGTTATCCCCAGATGTTTTCTAACAAAACCAAATAAAAGTACAGTCAGTTGATGTTTATTTAAAGATAAAGGCAGTTTATGCCAGAGCTTGAAAATACGGTCTAGCAAATATAAAGGAAAAATCACAACCTTTGCTCCTTCTATTTCCTTTGCCAACATCACAATCAGACTGCATTTATGTTCGATTATCATCTGCCAAAAGTCGTCAACAGTATTTGGTAGAGGTCCCTGAGTTGCGATGTATTTGCGTCGCTTGTTGTGTCCCTTTAAAATAAGTTTAACATTATCCTTGTTTGATAAGTTTAGTTGAAAAAATAATTGTTATATTTCTAATGTTTGATGTGCTTTTCCGGCTTCTATTCTGAACTGTTTATAATTTTGGCATTTCGGGCAAAATATCAACATTCTAAATCAAAAATTATATTTGGACTCAAGGTCGACTAGGCGCCTTGATCCGCAATTCAATAATAAATGACGTTACAGCTATGACAACGTGTCACTGGCTTAAATAACTTTTTAAAAGACGACGTCTTGTGACAAAATAAATATTGACATCGCGAGCACAGAATATCGTGTTGCAATCGATTCCCTCCGGCAAAAACTCGGAAAAAAACAAGGAATCTCGGAATAAAATTATGGCATAACCCAAACTGCGAGAGTACCAAAAACTTAACTCTACCTTACAATTACATAATGGTCGTTTAGTATACTATGATAAAAACGTACATTATATCATACTTACATCTACAAAACAAGCGTTTATGTATCCCAATTTTTGCTGCCGGTACCTTCACTATCGTATCATCAACTGAAACATATAGAAATACATACATATGGCTACAATTTTACTCGTTCATGTTCTACATAAGGAAATATGCAGACGAGTTGCAAGCCAAAATTGATACAATTATGCTGCATCCTTGTTGCAAAATTCGAAATAATTCACTTGTCCATAAGCTGACAGGTGTTTTATGGATAATTCTCGAAACTTATTGCACGATTCATGTAATATTTCTATGCCAGTGTGCAAAAACAATAATAAAAGCATATTACATATTCCGTAGAGGAGTAGAATTTAATAAAATTATTACCTAAATGAATAATAAAAATATAGAATATTTATTGCAAAACCTTTATTATACATTATAAGAACTATGATATAATAGGATTGGTTACCTATTTGGATACATTACATAAACGGGCTTAAACAAACGCGTGGCAACTGCTTGTTTTGGGCATTCTGTCTAAAACACCTGGACATAAAAACACCTGGGAAAACGTGCAAAAACCGTGTAAAAACCCCCTGCAAAAAATGTGTAAACCACTGGCTATGTTAAGCCAAAATTCCGGCACCTACGAACCCATTGGCTGCAAGGGTTTCTGCTTGTACAACACCTCATCAGAAGCAAATGCTATGGAACTTATAATAAACTTACACGGAAGAATGTTTCTGTATCTGTTTTTCTTCGTCAGTTCAGAATTGGAAGCGATTTTATGTGGTTTTCCAAGTTTGGCAGATTGCGAGATAATTTTCTAAATTTAAATTTTTGTAGTTTACTTGAAATTTTAGGAAGTATCGCCTATGAGCACTGGTTCTTAACCAGTGAGCAACGGCTTGATATTGGGCCACAGATGGGCCACAGATCGATTAAAAATTGCTAGAATTGTTGCTAAATTTAGATAAATTCTATGGTAGTAGCTATGAATGTTGTTTTTTGTTATAGGGTAGCGATATCCTCATATTTATTATTAATGAGAAAGTGTCTATTTTTACAAAAAAAAATGTTTTTCTTGTAGTTTTTTTTCTAGCGTGGAAATGTTGAAAATAAAAAGTTGAGAACGATTGGGATATGAGTTTTACTAGTCAGAGGGCTTGTAAATATAACGGTTCAAATTTCATGATTTATTAAAAATATCACGCCTCGCACATCTATACTCAAAGCTAGATATTGTTAGTTGCGGGTTTTTAAAAAAAAACTTGATCATGATTACGCGGGTTATGCACTGTTTTAAATTTCAATTGGTATTTCATTGCATTGAGGTTCTTTTACCTAAATGAATATATACTGTATGCATAAACATTTATAATACTAAAACGAGAAAGGGGAAATGTATCGAAAAGATTGAGAACTATACCGTCTCAGAGTTCATTAAGATCTTGTACAAATCAAATATTGTTTACCATTGTTTTCAATTACTTAATTTTAAAATATTTCAGTATTTAAATTTTTATATACTGCCTTAGAAAGATTAGATCTTTTTACATGCAAAAATAAAAAAAATAAACCTGAAATTGCTCATTGAAAGGTGCATTTTCCTGTTTTCCCATTAAATTGTAAACATCTTCAAAATTTGATATTCTAATAGAAGTATCAGATTGCTCATCGCTTAGTCTGCTTGCAGATAAATTATCATGTCCGGACGATTCTGTAAGTTTTTATAAAAAGAATATTTCAATTTTATCCGTTCATTTGGATATTGTCTCGAGGTTAGGTGTCTTATTGTACAGCACGTCAGTAGAAGCCGCAATTTTTACGATAGTATAAATCTACACTCGCCAATTCGCACGGGATAAATTGTATACAGTGATTTACCTACACTCGCCCATAAAGGGTGAGCACCCATCCTAAAATTTCATCCTGCTATATATTATAATCATAAACCGCAAAATCATAGCATCATTGGTCGGCATCAAATTACTTTCACCTTCCCTCGTTAATTGTGCCACATTATTGTGTATATATATTATAAATAGATTGTAAAGAAATATTACTATGAGAACACTGTCGCACTGAACATGTATTTGTAAGACAATATTATAAGGTTACCATCATTTATTTCCACTGATACTTCCGGCTTTGCTGCCAATGGTGGACTTGATATGCTGTAAATATGATACAACGGTAACCTCAATACGGCGATCGGTAGGAATGGCATTGCGCTAAGCAATAAAAGTCCAATGACACCTCGCCGCTCATTACTTGTGTGGGATTTACAGAATAAAACAAGAGAACGATGCTCAAATATATGGGCACGAAAGCCGAAACAAAATAGTACAGCATGTATGCAATCTGTCACAGTAGACTACTGGCAACACAGTGTTCACGACATCGTCTGTCGACCAGATTGCTAACGCGAAGGAGGAACCGCCACAAGGTGCGCATATTTCAATTTTGATGACGTCTTCGCACACACAAAAAACGAATCCAATGGAGCCCGCAAAATTTCTTGAAATAAATAAAAGTAATAGCCTTCAAGCGAAAATGCAATCTTATTGGTCTAGTAGTCAATGAGAAAAGCGATTTCTGTCATAACAACAACAAGAAATAGAATTCTAACACCACCACCAACAAAACGATCTATACGTTCATTTCGTGTCCAAAATAGGAGGGTAATTATGTGTGCACGGATTGCTAGGTTGCTCTGTCAGCCATAGCAGAATTGTTCACAAAATCATTTGTTCGTTAGAATAGTTAGGGTTCCATCGCAATCCGTGTTCATGCATTCATTATGCAAGGTTATTCACGTAAACACTTGTCGGTTACGGATTACGGTTTAGATAAAGTTATTATTTTACTATTCATTTACATTAGCCGACTTCATTCAATCAGTTATCTATAAGTGAAACGAAACGAAAAGAACGCTTTGCTTTTAGACGCTTGAAATAGCCATTGTCGGGGTGTTATTGTTGTTGTTAAAAATGTCTTTCCCTCAATCTAATAAACTAATAAATTTCAAATTTTTAGATCTCAAAGATGGAAGAAGTTGCTAGAATAATATTGCTTATATTTTTTATTATCAAATTTCATCTGATTCAGACTGGGCCCCATATTCACATCAAAATTTTTATACGTTACGGGCAGACGTTCATATGATAATTCTTTTAACATTTTGCTGACATTGGGGTAGCAACTCGTTTCCTTCGTATCTCATAGTTGAACATTGCTCTCATGTTTGACTTTAAATATATAATGGTGTTTTGCGCGGTAAAAATATATGAACATTGGTGCCATATTTTTCGCACGCAAGCGTTTATGACAACAAAGGGAGAAGAGTATATTTCACTTTCCCCTTTGCTATTTTAGCAACGCAATTGAAAATTTCTAAATGCTCTGATTTTTCGCGTCCATTGAATCACTGAAAGGGTGAACTACAAGGAAGTTAAACCGGAAGCGCTTCATCGCGATAGAAGTAACCGTTATCTTCCTTTTCCCTCAAGATACCACTGTAAAAGTTTTATTGGTATCTCACTGCGGAAAAAAACTGGTAAAATCAGTAAATTTTACTACACAAATGTAACAAGCCACTTCATCCTACAGCAGAAATGCAAAAAAAACATTGCCAAAATCACGAGTCGACAATTTTAATGATTTTAACAGTTCATGAAATGTAGTTTATTGCTAAAAATAGCACCATGTTAAACTATTTCTCTCTTGTCTCAGTCGCTAAATATTCAGATCCCATTTGGAGTGAGGATTGAAAACCAAGAACAAGACGATAAAAGATTTGCAAGATAAAAATTACTAACTTATCTAATTCGACGTTGTCCGAAATTGATGCATTAACTTCGGGTAAAAACTCCCTTTTACGTGGATTGCGTTTAGAACGGCTGAAACAATTAAATATTTAGTTGTTACTATAAAATTGCTCGAAGTCTCTGAAACAACGGTTTTGAAGTTACATATCGAGAGATAATATTTGAAATAAAAAACTGACAGATTTGAGAAATGAAAATACGTAAATATCTGTGTGAGATTTTATAAAAACATTTGAGTAATGTGAACGTCCTCTCTCGGGCGATGTGTATCCTAAAGCCCAGACCAAACCAAGTACGCTAAAATAAAGCCCTATTATTGCAATCTGCGAGACATGTACCAAGAATAAGGTTATGTAACTCTATATCATTTTATCAGACTCTACTTTTTACACCCATTTGAAATACAGACTCTAGGTTAATAAAAGAAGTTGACTACGACTCAAGATATGAAATTAATTCAATTTTCGCTTTTATATAAAAAAAAATTATTTCTCAAGTATCATTTTGTTGAGAAATAACAAACTAGGTCGTTCGAAATACCATCTCCGACTGGGCTTGAAAATATGATAACCAGCAAGAAGGGCTTAACACCCCTGTTTTTTATCACAAAACGAATCCTTTTCTCTTTTACATACAAGAACTTAGTATTAATAAAGAAGTTCCTACGAATAATAAAACTATATACGTCATCATTTATTTCATGTAATATATATAATAAAACTTACAATCGCCAAATTCCAAATATTATTCCTGCAATCACCAAAATGGGTCCAACTATTGCAGCGACAAATACAATGACTGGAGGAACATTTTCATATTCTAAAAAAAAATATGAATGCATTTGAACATAAATGTTAATGGAAGACTTTTAGACTTCATATTGATTCGCCCGTGTTCCCTCATATTTGGGCACGAAATGGACCTATGTATCGTTTTGTTGGTATGTTGTTGTTGTTGTTTTATTTTCATATTTTGGCTGATCTGACGCACAACTCATTTTTTACAGCAACCCATTACATTCCCACTAACTTTGCCTAAAAACTTTGATATTGATTATTACATTATTACTGCGGTTCTCGTAGCAACTAATCATCTGTATTATCGTGACTAGATAAAGCAAGAGAGCGATGCTCAAATATATGGACACGAAATTCAAAACGCCGAAGTACGGGTATAACCATCTCGACGTCATAAAACATTGAAGACATTCATCATGATATCATAAAAACCTGTTCCCATAATTAAAAATTATACATTTTAGATGAAATATCCTATCTCACAAAAAATTTGGGAACAAATAAAACTAATAGCCTTAAAGAAAAAAATACAATCTTTGAGCACTAAAAATTTTGAAGCGGTTTTTTCATAAGGTAACAAGAAGAGGGACAATAACAACGTAATAACAAAACAATCCATAGGTCCATTTCGTGTCCAATATGTCATGTGAATAACGAGGTTACCTTTGGTAGCTTATACTGTGGCGAGAATGTGACTTACTGAGGAGTTCTTGAATTCAGGTCTTCAAATCATTACCATCAAGACGATAAAAATATTTTTTAGGTAGATTTTTTTTTGGAAAGGAAATCCAAAATAGCGTTAGGTCATGTTTATTATACGTTTTAAAAACTTAGCAAGTGTAAATTTATAAAGTTTGGCATATAACTTCCTGACTACCTAAGTATTTAATGAGAATAGATACTGAACTCCTGTAAAAATGCTTGCGTCACCTAATGTTTTGTTAAAGGGTGGGGCAAAATAATTTACTGTTTTTCATTGATTAATTCACTCATAAAGAATTTGAAATTGCGAAGGTTTTCTCATCCTAAAGCACGTACATCATCCATTATCTAACAGTCGTATGATTCAGATCAAGTGAAAGTCAATTTACAAGGAGGTTTGCCTTGCACCTGGGGCATGTCCGTGACTTTTTCTTTTTCAAAGCAAAGAAAAAACGAAATTGTGATTATCAATTGGTTACAGAGATCGCCAGTTATTTCTATGCCTAAGATAAGGTAAAATATTAACTACGGCCACTTACCAAACTCTAGTTTTTCACTTGTGCCAAAGCAGATGTTGTCTCCACAAGGCGTAGTTGACACGACCCAAACACTAAAGATGAAGCAAAACATCATTTTTTTACAATAAAATTTACCCAAAATTTCCGAAATTTTCTCTATCACCTATTCCTTGCGTACATTTTCATTAGGAGGAAACATATATGATAAAAATGGCATTAAAGCATGAATTACATTGAAATAAGGAAAAATTGATGATTTTTTAATATTGGTATTTGCGCACATTCAATTTGTTGAATGTCAGTCAGCGATTACTAGGCTTTATCGAAATTTTCTAATCTCTTTATTTTAGCGTTTTTCAAGAAAAAAAAATATATGTATAACAAAAAATAGATATTGAAAACGCCTCAAAAATTTAGAATGTACATTTCCCCTACACTCCCTGTCCACGGTGTTTCCGCGGCTGACAATATCAATGCCTACCTGTAAAAATTTTCTTTATTCAATTTCCAATTCTGCCCAACGAACGTTTTATTCGGTTGAAATTGACCTGCCATGTGATTTTTCGTTTGTGTGACGTCACAGGCAGATTTCGAATTGTTGCCGAGATCGACGATTATTTCATCGTCAGGAATTCTAAAATTGAATTTGTAATGAAACAAAACACGATACACGAATCTGACAAGGCGCAATGCATTTTATAAACATAGTATGTGTACCAAGTTAAGGTTATATTACAGGGACTAGCCAAGTGACCACCGTAGTATTTGTACATGAAATTATGGCCTAACCCTAACCTGGTACACATACTACGTTCCGGTGTCCGCCATCTTGGTTCACATACTACGGGAGTACCGATACTTTTTCTGAAGGCAGGTAAAAACATTACAAATCTAATATAAAAGTATTACAGCGTGCCTGGAACACTTAACTCCACTTTCTCAAGCATTCTTGTGACACAAATGACAAGCAGTATACAAGAAACGTATAACGAAGGATGGTCACATCACCCCACAATACATACACACTTGACTTGACATATACGCTGTGTGAATTAAATCAAGAAAACATCTTCTTGTTCAGATACTCGTTCTGAGTCGGGTTGAAAACTGGCGCTCCAGAAGTGTATGCACCAAATATGGAGGTAATTAATTTTGTTCGCCTGCTTTACATCAAGTTGTGTAAACGCACTGAAGCCTATGGGCAGAGGGTATATTCACTTGGCTAACACAAACAGTCCCCGAAAGCGTAATAGAACTAAAATAAGAAAAATCGGAATAAAATTATGGCCTAACCGTAACCTGGTACACATACCACAGGAGTACCGGATAACGTTACATAAAATTATTACAATGTACCTGGAAACTGGCAACGCCACAGCAATGTATTCATTCGTGGATCCGTTTGCTTCAGCCAAACTCTTCCAGTTGAATTCATTATTTGCGTGAGATGATCCATCATTTACGATGACAAATAAACAGCTAAAATAGAAATGAACCATTGGGTGAGAATTTTTGAAGTAACAAGATGGGGCTGGTATGTTGGAATATTTCTAAACACAATTCCATATATGATATACATATTTAAATTCGATGACACTGGGTTTTAGCCTCTTCAAAGTTCTTTACAAATTGTTTATCCTGGTTTTTGTTCTGCAGTACTGAGTTATTCATATGTCATATTCCCTACTTCCGCGTTTCACTTATTTCGGTTTCTAATCCTGTGTTATTGGTAAGTCCAAGTTCATCTGACGTTAGCACCGGATTTGGATTACCATAAATTATGAATTCGACTTCGAGTTTTGACATTAATATATATATATATATTTAATAAATAAAACGCCAGTTTAATCCACACGCCATATTTTTGCGCACAATTCCAAGAGGGACTGCGTATATCACCAATGAGATTCGTCGTGTCAGATTATGTAATGTCAAATGCCATTATTTTTCTGGCGGAAAATTGTTCGTCACACGTAAACAAAAAAAGTGTAAAGTATTGGAATTGATTCAATGTGATGAATAATTGAAATTATTATAACTTAATATAACGAACCTGATTAAACCATTGCCTTCGTGCGGTTTAGTCACGGTTATTCTCAGTATTCCTTTGGTATCAATATCTTCCTCAACGACGACTGGTTTTGCAATTGAAGTCGGAGCTGTAAAACAAGAAAGAGGTTGAAACTCATATATTGGACTTATTAGTATTGTATTAGTCTTTGATACATTTCTAGATCTAGCTTATTCGACGGATCCAAGTTCTGTAGTTTTATATTTTTTTGCCATGGCGCTATCCAGAATCAAGTATATTATCTGAAGTGGAAACATTATATATAGATATACTTCGCTGACCTGTTGTTGAAACAAAAATCACGTTTCTCTTACCGATGGGTATTCGTTTTTGAATTGTCAGTATTTGAATATGAGAAGCTCTTATAAAGCTATTGCTTATATATTATTGACTCGGCGTTTCAGTCATTGGATTACCCTGTGCAGGGTTGAATCTTGTAATTATGTGTGGGAGGATTGCTACTTATCGTCATACCCGACATAAAATGGTAATCGGACACTGGAAAGCGTTTTGTCACGTGTCTTTAATATTTTTTGGGATAAATAGGCACTTCTCAATTTTCAGTGGAGCAGTTAGACTGTTAGAGCATACACTGTGTATCGGGTTAATCCAAAACATTTCGACTCATTTCTGGTTCAAAAATATACTTTACCTGCCGGTTTTCCAACGCAAAACCCGGTTGCATTCACTGCCTCGCTGTCTTCCGCGCACCCGAGAACTTTTATCGATACTGTGCAGTTTCTATTTGGTTCCGGAATAAAAATGTGCGGAGTTGAAACTGACTCGCCTTCAGATGCAATTTCTAAGTTTGATGAATTTGTGCTTTCTCTTGTCGCAACTCTTTTACAGAAGCCCGTGATCTGTGATAATGCAGTTTTTGTTTGTTTAATACCCGAATGTTTTTCCCCAATGTAAAACAAAAAACAATAGATGGTAAAATATACCAAGATAACATACTAAATCATAGAATCTCACAATGGCTGAACTCTAAATCGAATAGAGAGTGCAGATGTGTAATCGCGCTCAATAGTTGAGTCGAAAGGAATACATAATAAAAACTTCGATAACTTTAGTTTCTTCTCTAATGATTGATTAGTGCTAGTTAGACCCAAAATAGTGTTTATAAATAAGATAATAGACCAATGCTCAAATGTATGGAAACTAGGGTCAAAGGTCATATAAAGTGTTTTCAAATTACACATAGAAGAGTTTCCGCGAATCTGTGAAAAAATTGGGTGAAATACGAGCAAAGGACTTGGATGAAATTTGAAAACCAAAATAGAAAAAGAGTAATAGCTTTCTATCGATTTCTTCCATCGTTGAGAACTGAAAATGTGAAATCGATTGGCCCAATGGTTGTGGATAAAACGATATTTTTCTCAACGGCAACAATTTAGCAGAACGATTCATAGGTCTTCGTGTCCAATAATTGTCTTTTTACCTCCCATCTCGTAGCAGTTTTGGGTAGAACATTATGCTTCCACGCCCATTGTATAGAACAGTTCTTTGACAGCCGCGCAGAAAACGTGGATTCTGTATTTCCAATTGTTCTTGCAGTTGCATTAACTGAATACTCATAGTCTTCAACTTGAACCTAGTATACATTTACAAGTTACCAAGAACGGCTAGAACGTACGCTTATGCAAACTAAGTTGGGACCTTTCCAGGTACTCCCAAAGTATGTAAACCAAGATGGCGGACACCGGAACATAGCATGTGTACAAGGCTAGGGTTAGGCCATAATTCCAGGTACAACTACTGCGGGAGTCACTTGGCTATTTCCTGAACTCGTAATAGAATTAAAATAAGGTAAATTGGAATAAAATTATTGCCTAATCTTAACCTGGTACACATACTACGTTTCGGTGTCCGCCATCTTAGTTCACATACTACGGGAGTACCCATTTTTACACGTGCGAGTATTCGGTAAAAATCAGTGTTGATTAGAATTCATAATCGAGTCAATTAGTGAGTTAAGTCTCACTGGTGGTTTGTTGATGATGAGAGTCATTTCATTTAGACGACTCGAATCATTTCGAGTCTTTGATAAATAGCGATTCGAGGACAACTCAAGTCAAATCAATCTTTTGAGCTTCCCCCAACACTTGCGATATTTGCTTCATTTTCATTTGTGCATTCAGAAAGAGTTAGCCTATTAAAAGTTTTGATTTATATTTATCTAGTTCGGTCAATTATGAAGGTGTGTATAACGCTATACACCGTTGTGTTAATTAAATATAAAGTTTTCAGATTTTGAATTGCCAATAACTACGAAATCCTGCATACGACACTGACTATGGGTTATAAGCCCATAGAGCCCAAAAAACTCAGTCCCAAGTGCTGGCTTATCGCATCATTACCTACAAATTGATCACCAACCCACTCACGAGTAAGTAATTATGCCGTATTGGCAACATATTAATACTTTTTTACACGATAGTTCCCGAAATCATAGTGGCATCCTGTAATGAAACTAATTCAAAAACAAAACGAAGCAACGACTTACTGTCACAACGTATTCCGTTCCAGACTCTAAACCCGGAAGTTCAGTGGTTAATGTTTTTGTTGATTTGAGCTTTGAAGATCCATATGCGGTTTCAAATTTAGTGTCAGAATTTACCGCTACAATTCTGAATAATTGAACAAAGCTGTGTTGATTAGTAAAGGATCAGTTTTTCATTAGCTCAAATTGAAAACAGTACATATATATAAAATATCGCGTCCCAAGAATATACTCAAATATTGCGCAAATTTAAATCGTTTTTAGATGACATTTATTCGGAAATTACTTGCTACTGGGCAGCTAAGTATGGTCTTGACTCAATTTCAACACAATTGAGCAGTACCACACTAAGAATTTATTAATTAGGATAAAATATGATGAACGATATAAATCCCAATTCTTTCAAAAACTTAAGTTGTCAGCACATAAAAGTAGCTGGTATATAAACTTTTGGGCACTCCTCAAGTATGTGTACCAAAATGGCAAACACCGGAACGTAATATGTGTACCAGGTTAGAGTTAGGCCATAATTTTAGATACAAATATTACGGGAGTCACTTGATTATAGTACCCGAACTCGTAATAGAAATAAAATAAGAAAAATTGGAATAAAATTATTGCCTAACCCTAACCTGGTACACATACTACGTCCCGGTGTCCGCCATCATGGTTTGCATGCTACAGGAGTACCAAAGAAAGCGCTATATAAAATTTTGTTCAGAACAAAGCTGTCGAATATCTCAAAAAACTGAAGAATCAGAAAAATTAGGAAGCATTTACTTGTGTGAAAATCCTGTTGCGAATTTACTTGGTTTCCATCTGACAACCAAACTTCTGCTACATGCAGAGTTGTTAACCGATATGATTGTTGGATTTCCGTCCACTATAAACAAATTCAAATGTAAATACAGGGAGTGTAATTTGTAGCCGAAGCGAGTAATTCTTCTAATAACAGATTACGCAACACTTTATTAGTTAACAAACACCTCCACCGAATTCAGTTTTATCATTTATAGTTTTTAAAATGATGGGCAAATTCAAACGTAGACGTTTGGGTCTATTTAAGTTGTATAAGAGAAAAAAAAAAGGATTTCAATTCTAGATTCGAGAGGCGGCCGTGGCTGAGCGAAATTATACATTGAACGGTTTTTGTAGTGTTGAAATTGATTGTATGTACCCTTTTACCTTTAAATAACGAAGCTACAGTAATATTGGATTTGGTGGAATTACAATGATATATCCCTGCATCCGAGATGGAGGCTTTCTTCAAGTACAATGTCGAACTCTTTTTATTTATAGTTTGATAGATTCCTTTTTCTGTCAATTCTTCTGTAATAGGTTCCGAAGAAGAGTCCTTGTACCATTTGACTGTAGCATCGGAGCATTTGCTAACTCGGCACACTTTTTTGGTGCTTGAGGAAAAATCGCCTTTGGTAATTCGTTGCGTTGTAACATCTTTAATGAAAATAAATAATGTTTACTTCATGAATTAAAGTATTAAACATGTCGAAAAACCTTAGTTTACTTGAATATTGCGGATTGCTAATTATAAAGGGTTATTTCAATTGAAAGGTTTGAAACATATGCGTAGGAGAGGAGTGAGGACTCATGACGAAAAATGCAAGTATTTATATTGTAAAACGATTTAACCGCATTCAAAGTGAAGCCCAATCGTACGTCTTTTTCGACAATAATTTGCTCGTTTTGTGGGCGTTTCACTGATAGCCAGACGATTTTGGCTTAGTTGGATAACTTCCACGGCGTAAGCATGGGATATATTCTGTAAGATATCGTTAGATACCAGTGGCTGCCAGTATCTAGCCTTGTTTGGGGTGAAAGGCGCGAGTAAGCGTCCTATTATGTCATATTAAAATAAAAGAAATGGTCTGGCTACGCTTCTGGTTTGGAATCGGAGAATAAGTTTGATGGGCAACTTCAAGTCTTGTTTGACTATTTGTGGCTTCAGTAGTGGTTGAATATAACTGTTCATAAACACTAAGTCTCAAGTGAAGTCGGATCTTTCGAGTTTCGAGTCGAATGTATATTCGAGCAGTTTTCTGAAGCTCTAGAATGAGTAATAGCAAATGTAGGACCTTATATTGAGAACTATGAGGCGCACTGCCAATAAATTGCTTAGATTGTTTTTATCCATAGATAATGCACAACGGGTACTAGTACTGGTTATGAATGTAGGCCAGGGTCTTCCAACCCGTGGCCCGCGGGCCATATGTGGCCCCCTGAAGCATTTCAAGTGGCCCGCGCTGAATTTTCAGAATTGAATAAAAACATTGAGTAAAACTATTTTTCGAGTGATGTCGTATACAGAGATGTGATACAAACGATTTGTTCATTTTCCTGAAATGCGCTCTGCCAGCCCTTCCAATCAAGCCATTTTGAATCGAAACCAACTGAGAGGAGATATCGATACATAAAGGTGCTTACACACTTGGTTCTTTATTGCTCTATATGATGTTATCGCAAAACAATCGAAGCCATACTCAGATACAAAATTCATTAAGGAATGTATATTATATATTGTTCGGGTTTCCAATGTTTTGCGACTGGAAATAAAAGAGGTGTTTGCAAAAATAGCCTGTCAAGACAGACGACCATAACTCGACGTGTTGAAAAGCTTGGGAACTCATTTTCATCGTATTCCTTGACGCTCGACAAAAGCACTGACAACAAGTTTACTGCTCAGTTGGCGACTTGGCAATCTTCTTGCGGGGAGTTACCGATGATATGAAATTACCGTGGAGCTCGCGGCCATTGTCCCTGTTAGGGTACGACTAGAGGCATTGGTTTGTTAATAGCTGTGATAATATCATCAAGCGTCTCGGCTTGTCTTTGGCGAAACTTTCAGGAATACCTGATCAATGGTTGGGAAACAACAGTTTTATTGTTCTAATACTTGTGAAAGTGTGAGGGTATTGTTTGTTCATTAACCTGTAGTCAGTGTAGTAAAACTAGAACATAACTTCCATGTTAAGTGGCCCGTGCAATTATTAGTGAATCACATGTGGCTCTTGGGCCAAAAAGGTTGGCCGACTCGAATGTAGGCAATCTAACATAAAGCACTATATGATCCATGCATTGTGCGCAATGGCTTATAAGGCGGACGATCCACTTTTGAGAAAAATAAAGTATTGTGAGTGCGCCTTATGGTCTGTAAAATACGGTAGCTGTGATTCCAAGCCAAGTCGAGTCATTTAACTAAACGGAATACCCGGAAGCTTTCCACGCGTCAAACAATGAAAAAAAATAAGTACTGTTTTTTACCAACCATAAGACGCACTTTAAACCATACTTTTTCTCGAAAATTATAAGCCGGGACGCTTAATGTATGAATCGGGCCGTGCTTTATTGCCTACACCATTGTTTAATAAACGAACGGCTGTTTTACGTCTTCTTTGAAAACAATACAATAACCTTAAAGAAATATTGAGTTGTTTTGTTTAAGGAGCTTGTACGGCTATTCTATACTTCCTAAACAACCGTTGCGCCTAATAAACCGATGTACATTTTTGTCCGTCAAATACTTTAGTTTAAATTTCAAACAAAAATAAAAGAATGCTTGCAACAAACCAGTTTGACAAATATAATTTAACTTCTCGTGACAACTGCTGTCTATCCATCGATAAGTTTCTCTTCCTACCAACATACAATCTTCGTCTCCACGAGCATTGTTCGGCTGATTAGATTTCCTTAAATAATGACAAAGTATTTTAAGGAAGTATCCGATAAGACGGCCTGATCATATGGCGCACCACGGCCTTTCGTCCCGATACCAGTCTGTGTCGGATATGGTATTACTTAGTCGGTTATTTGTTTTAGATACATGTACTTATTGGCGGAGGTAGTCTTAACCACCGTACGGCAAACCCACGCATACGCTGTAATACTAGTAACATTTAATTTCAGATAAATCCCCGGATTCAAAATACTACCGCTAGCTAGCTACCACCCTGGTATATTCAAATTACAATATTTATTAATAGTGATCAATTTCAGGTACATTTGTTTCAATATACTTACCAATTTTGATATCCTTCTTCGTCTCTCATTATCACATCAGTGCCATCCTGCCATTTCCAATCTTTTTCCTTACGTATATCATTTCCTCCTATGAAGTAGGATTGTTTGTAGTTGATTCTAAAATAAAATTGATTCAGTTTGGGTGGAATAGCAATGTTTCACAAGGCAGATCATGAAACTCTGGACAGACGGTCGCAAGGCGTTTTACTATGTATTTTATTGTAGATGACCAAACTTGGTATAGCGTGAGGTTGTGGGCCTCGCTGAACTATTTCGCTATTACATTAACGCAGAATTATTATTATTTTCCATTTGCGATGATTTTTTTGTATTGTGACGAACAAAAAAATAGATCCAAAACATGCTAGAGGAGAGGATTTCTCAAAAAAGTTTGTGAACCACCGCATTATACTTTTACCTTTGCGTACGGAAACCCACAAAACATTTTCGAGGCATATTTTCGGAGTTCCAGAAGTATGGGCACCAATATGGCGCACAATCTGAACATGGTATGTGTACCGGGTTAGGGTTCAGGTTGTTCGATATCTTGGTGCACATACTATGGGAGCGCCATATTTTCTGTTAAAATTTTGTTGCAACTTACTCTATAGTTTCATTGATAACGTCTGTAATTTCTTGTGTATCGACTTTCGCTAAGTAACCTCCTAAAGATTCGCAAAAGACTTTTGCTTCGTGGTAAGATTTTTGAAGTGTCGTATTGTCGTTATGTTTGAAGAATTTCAACTCAAAATCGCCGAAACATCTTGTCCGCCACGGTTCTAAATCAAATTTATTACTTTTAATTTTCAGTTTCATTTTGTCATAGAATATTGGGAAAGGAACAAAATATGATTATCTTTATGCTGAATTGTTGTTATTGTTGGCGTTGTCCTTGTTGCTGTTGTGAAAAATTGATTTAAAATGCATAACTGTATGACTGTATGAATGATGTGGGAAGACTTAATTTTTCATTTTCTTATTTCCAGAGGAATTAACCCATGCTTTTGCTGTTATATATAACTTAATTTATGGAAACACTGATAGATATCTTCAAGCCCATATATTTGAGCATTGTTCTATCGTTATAAATCATCAAGCGACAAAATATATCAATAAACAGACCTCTAGTAAGTTTTTTCTGTGTTGTTTTTTCGGGGACAGCTGTTCTAAACTTTGCTGTATGGAGAAAATTTACGCCATCGTGCAAAATTCCCTACCCACAGACTTCGATGAGTTTAACCAGCGATTTCGTTATACGTATATTTGTGCATTGCCCTCCTCTATATAAGCATCACAATTGATATCAAAAATTAAATAATTTCTCACCTTCTGCGGAACATAGTGTGGCTGAAATTGTTGCGATAATAACGGGTAACATTCCTATGAAATTCATTTTCAATATAGCTCAGTCAACCTGTAAATATATTACATGCTCTGACTACATCTGAATTTGAAATAAAAATTTTCAGAAATAAACATTTTTAACGTTTTTATTGTACAACTGTTTTAGATACACTCATCGTTGTTTATGGTCTGAAGTCTTTAATTTAACATAACACTAATGAAAGGCCAGGCAACCCCCCAAAAAAGGACAATTTCGTTCAGCATTGTTTTTGCCGTCGCTCCGACTATCGTTTACCCGAATAACCGGACAATTTAGAGTGTTAACGAAAGTTCTTTCACTGGTAATACCATCCCTAATACCTCACTATTTTCTTTCGGTAGGACTGTCCTTTTTTGGCCATTCGCCTGAGCACAAAAATCCTGGATTTTCATTTCAATAGAGTTGAATAATGTAAGCCAGCCGATAATACGCTAATAAACAGTTTAGCATTTTATCAATCGGCTTTCATCTAATCGCACATTTGAGTCTAAAACTCATTCCTTACATCCTAGAATGGTACATACTCAATGGTATTTTTAAAACACATGATATTTCAGAATATTTTAATATTGTTATTTGTTATTTATTTTAAACCGTCTATTGAAATTTATCTGAGATCAGAATCCAAAGACTTGGCCAAGAGCAAACATATATGCAAATTTGCGAACAGTTGCTGAAGTACAATTAAGTTATCAGACATTTCACACTTCAGACATAGAATGAACATATAATATCGTGTGGATTAAACTAAACAAAACTAAATGTGATGATATTGCAATCTTTCTTAAGACAAGATAATAAATAGAAAAGAAAAATCTTCTGATAAAATCATTAATATACAAATACACCTCGAAACTCTGACTTTGCGCGGTAGAAACAAGTAGTTACCAAATTTATTATGTGTACCACTACTCTTTTTATATAGATTCCAAAGACTACCGAAAGAACGAAATGGCCTACTCCGTCATATAATGCTCCTGTTGAACTCTGTATAGTGAGAATAAAAACTATTCAAAAAATGTTATTTACGTTTCGAAACCCAACTCTGGAAATTGCGTAAAATATTGTATCTGTAACGCCTACGTTTTCGTCTTTCAAATGCGTCTGCTAGGATTCGGTCGGGGGAATTTCATTCTCTTCACAATGAACTGAAATATGAGGCATCATCAAAACAGTAAACAGCGTAATATTGCCGCAGCTTACTCATGTCCGGCCTTGACGATTCTCGGCTTACACAATTTGGTATATACAATAAACAAAAATCTGGCAATTCTGTCGTTTATGTGAAGCTGCTTGCTCAATTTAAAGTGAATTTGTTGCCTAAGCCCTAATCATATACATTCTATTTCACAATGCGCACCAATATTAAAAATGCTCTGATGTTGTAAAGGTCCGAATGTGCATTGAAATATTTGAGATTCATTAATAAGAATTAATAGTTTAAATTAATTACTCATTTTATGCATCTAAAATCCCCATATTTCTTCATTTCTTTTCGCTATTTCGTTTCTTGGCCTGGGTCCCTCACCCAACGTTCCCAGGTGTTGGGGGCGATGGAAATAAAGTAGTGGGAATTTATAAAGTGCCGCAAACTAAGGTACATGTGATTACCAGAGGTATTTTTGTTTTGATATTCTCCTACTTGTATTTCAATGCGTTATTAAAAAATCAAATATATATATATATTGCAAATTTATTTTTGAATAAGTTCAACTCAGTCTTGTGAATACGGATAATAGCTTATATTGAAATTCATTGGGTTCAGTATTATTGTGATACTTTCATATTTTTTCTTTCACGAAAGTATAACAAAATAGCATAGACTGTCGTTCCCATGTAGGGCTTCTTTCGTTTGGATAGCTTTTTCAAACAATCCTGAAGTCTAGGTTCTAAATTGAAAATCCGACGTTATCCTTGCTTTAAACTTCAATCTAGGATTATGAAATGTTCATAAAGTATATATAATAATGGAATATTCAATACTGTTGCTTCAAAACCTTCTGTATATATATATATATTTCGTGAGTGCATGATTATATAATGCTAAAAATCTACAAGTTTAATCGGAAAAAGCCTGATTTCAACCACATGCTATATGTCTGTAATAGTTCAGTTTATGTTGTGTGTTTGACATATTATATATATTTTTTTTTACAAAATTTCATTCATTCTCGTCGTATATTCATTCTCACATTTTACTGGGTAGGTTTAACAAGGCGTTTGTTGTTTGATGACGTAGTGTGAAGAAAAAATTAAAACCAAGCATTCCCGTTAGTTGAAAATGGAAATAACCAGTGGTGGGATTCAGCCGGTTCGCACTGGTTCTACAGAACCGTCCCAACTGTATGAGATCAGCGAACCGGTCAGCATTACTGGCTACTGTCCATGACTTTTTGTAACAGAACCCGTTGAAAAATATGACTTTTGTGATGGAACCGGCTAACAAAAAAAATTGAATCCCACCGCCGGAAATAACCTATATTTTGCTATAAACACGTACGTATCTGCTTATTTTAAAACCAAGTCCTAACTATTGCAGACAAATTTTCAATTTTGTTTTTAAACATATCATTGAAAGGGTTGTTGTACACTTTTCTGGAATTTCCTAACATTCATACTAGTGCGTCAATAGGCTTCTATGTACATGCAATAGAATAGCAAAATTTCGAATTTATTGTTTGTGTTTCTATGCAATTCATACTAAAAATGCACTCCCATGCAAGTATTGGAATGACGTTAGACCAAGTGTTTTTCTTTTATTATTAGCTTAAGTTTTTGTTTCAATTTGAGTGAATAAAAATTCTACTTTCCATGGTAAATAAAGCATTGTGAGGCACATAGGCTATATGACACCAACGTCGTAGAGAATCTAGATGTTGTAATCGACCTTCCACGACCCTGTAAAATTTTTAAATAGCTTGGAATGAATACGAAATTGTAATTACACGCAAGATACGTACGCTAATTACCTAAGTAGATTGAATAGTAAATTTTTTCTCATTTTTATTTGAAATCTATTTATTAAAATAAACTGACCTACGATAAAAACAGCTCTGAAATAGTAAAAATATATTAATTATCAGATTGGCTGTTGCCTGGATAAATTAGTAGCCTATAGCTATATATCGATAGTTTATTACCATTTCACAAAATGAAGTTAAAGGGGTGGAATTTTTCAAATTAGGATAACTTCATGTATTCGGCCGTATTTAATTTTTTGAACGATATGTATTTGGGTCGAGAATTATGAACCTGAATGAAAAATTAAACAAAAACTGTAGTAGTTATTCAAGGGTGGGTAATTACTTTGCTGAGTGGACCAACTTTTTATTTACAACAGTTAATTCAACAGTCAGGCAAACATTTGCATATTAATAGAAAGCAAAATGTAACAATCGGGGTCATTATGACGTTTTTTCAACGGAAATTTATTTTCATAAAAATTATAGTCGTAATTTCAGCAGACACAAGTGGGCCGTAATTTACCCGTTTCTGACTGATATAAAATTTTAAATTGGTTATATTTTAGAACATGATCTTACAAGTTATAAACGAGACCTAGTGCGGAATCTACCAGTGAGCAGGGTACCCTGAGGTCTAAGAGCTCATGACCAGCATGTTTTTAACGCTTGACACAACGTTCGTGTTATATAGTATAATTTAATGCCACATAAAAACTCCTGGAAATGATATTTAAAATGCCAAAAATGTTAGAACGTCCCCATAGTCGTCATTACCCTACGACCAGTGGTGGGATTCAAATTTTTTGTCAGCCGGTTTCTTCACAAAAGTCATATTTTTCAGCCGGTTCTGTTACAAACAGAACATTGACCAGAGCCATTGGCTCTGCATTGACAGTAACCAGTATTGCTAACCGGTTCGCTGATCTCAAAAAATTTCGTGAGACGGTTCTATAGAATCGGTGCGAACCGGCTGAATCCCACCACTGCCTACAACCGCAAACTATTCGTTCCATTTTATCTACCGATAGAAAATACCGTACCCATCACTTTATTTAGCATTTGACGTTAACTTCATTACCATATATTATGGAGTATATACTATTAAGTCAATTTATCTTGGAAAGATATTTGTCCAACATGGGAAGTCCAACTGTATTTCACACGGGAGGGAGCTAGAGTGCAGGCCCGCGAAAACCTGGAGGGAGTATTAGAAAGAGAAGTGTCAGAGTGTTGGTCTGATGATTCACGAATTGGGGTAACGTAACGTTTCTGACGTCTAGGAGCAAACCGTTGGATAACCGGATTACCGTATATTGCCTGGTTCGTTCAGCTGTTCATACTTGTTCGTTCAACCCGACAGTGAAGACCAAATAGAGAAATGTTTGGAGGGGGTGGTGGTAAGCATCCTCGTTTTGTTCTCTAATTTTCAGATTTTGGAGTTTTGACAAGAAAATTTGTAAACATACTGACATAGGCTACCGGGTACGGTATGTATCCTTTGGAAGTCTGTTACTTTGTAGTCATGCAATATTCCTGTAATATAATTGAAATACAATATTTCTGAGCCTTTATTTTTACTAGTAGGGTGGTGTAGCCAGTCTGCGGACGATTTAATTCAAACCGCTACCGGTACAAAACAAAAACCATTATTTCTAACCCGTTAATTTGTTTCACCGTAGGTGCATTGGCATTTCCTCTACACGCTAAACTTTCTACGACCAGGGGTTAAAGCTATACAAACCACCAAAGTACGACACTCTGAAGACGTATTTGCGACCGAACGACCAGTGTGCGAACACGGATTTCAAGCCTTGAACATCGTTTCTGCTGCGCCGAGACTAGGGCATACGCAGCCATGCGTGAAAAAAATGGGCTCCCAATTGCATTTCTGACCGTCATATATTTTAAGAACCCGGTTATTTCGAACAAAACTCGTCAAATTATAAACAAAGCACCGCATCACAGCAATCAAACAGACAAAAACACGGTGGTCGCAAATCGATCGACACTGGCTATTATCGACGTATTGGAAATGCGCACCCCCTATTCCCCCTCCTTTAAATGTAGAAACGCTAAACTTTAAAGATGGTTGAAAGAAACACAACTCTACCTGCCAAGTTTCATCTTTTTATCTCCTATATTTGTATGAATTTTCAAGCTTTTTTAAAGGGACAATGGGTAGTTGGCGACATGGAAAAATGGTCCGTTTTTTTTTCCTCGGTTGTGTTTTCGGTCGAAACTTTTTTGTTTGTGGCCGCATTTTAGTGTAATTTCGCAGAGCTACGAAGAATAAGTGGACGATAACGCGTGAGAAATATCGTCGCGGTTTGTTGATTTTTTCGGCATTAATTTAATCGATGAGGTTGATGGTCGCAAATAGGTCGTGGCCGCAAACCAGTCTGGATTTCATGGCCTTTTTGAACGAGAAATCGGGCGTGCAATCAGAAATTCCCGCGTGCAAATAAGAATTCCTGGCGTGCAATTATAGCTCACGACGTGCAAAACAACTGCACTCGCGTGCAACTAACTTTGACATCAGATACCTCTCAATACATCCGCGTAAAATTACCGGTATCGGATAAAAAATACGTTGAATCAGAGAAAAAATGGACGTTTGACCTTTGACCCCAAACATTATTTCTACAGTTTGTCGCTAATTTTGAGAGTGTTTGTGCGACTTTGGATACCGGTATTGTTCAGTACATTCGTGTAAAATTATTGTATGAAAAATACGCTGAATCAGAGCCGTACTTGGCCATTGGTGCGGAGGCGATCTTTTTGTCCATAACTATTCTCACGGGATTCCTATTTCCTATCATTCAACACGATATGGACCTTTCCCCGAGCATCGACTTCCTCGTTTACTTCGTGACATTGGCCAATCAGCAAGATGCAAAAAAGGACGTAACAATGAGAGGAATATTTCGCGGGTCAAAGGTTGGGGAAAGTTCCATGGTCTTTTTGCTTCGCAATATTTCGATCAGACCAAATCTTGCAAGCTGGTATTTGTCGACAATTGTGGAGTTATAATATTTTGGCATCTTTATATTACTGGATTATTGATTTTAAAACCATTTAAACCGATTTACATTGGTGAGCAATTGCAAATTTTCGGCGTGCAAAATTGATTTCGCTCGCGTGCATTTTTGCGGAGCGCTAGCGCCCTCGGGCGTGCACCTGCCATGGAATCCAGTCTGGGCCGCAAAGTGGGTAAGCCACCCTAGACTACACAGTCAGGCAGTGGACTTGTTGGCCAAGCCCAGACCAGCGGACTGGATTTCATGTCAGGTGCACGCCCGAGGACGCTAGTGCTTTGCAAAAATGCATGTAAGCAGACGAAATAACCGTTATTAAAATTTAAATGAGCGTTCAACCACCAAATTGCAAAAACATTCTCAAAATACATATTTGATACCGTAATGGTTAACTGTTTTGTGACTGATTCAACGTATTTTTAATCCAATATTTTTACACGAATTTTAAGAAGAGTATCTTAAGTAATAATCAGTTGCACGCGGGATCAGTCGTTTTGCATGCAGCGATCTCTAACCGCACGCCAGGAAATCTGATTTGCCCGCGAGAATTTCTAATTGCATGCTCCATTTCTAGTGAAAAAAAATCTATGGAATACAGACTGGTGCACAGCTGCACAGAGAGATAATGCTGTAATTTACTTGTTCTTCAAACTGTCAAACAAGAAACCCATACAACTTAATATACATAGAATGAAAATTTAAATTTTTGATAAGTGATTGGGTGGTAATGATGTTGCCATTATTAGGGTTACCATCTAAAATTAGCAAAGCAGGATAAATATGTCATAATTTAATTTCCTCAAATTTTATGTTTTCAGGATTCGGCGGAGGTGGAGGGGGATACGGTGATGGAATGGGAGGAGGAGGATTTCAGCAAGGTGGATTCTCATCACCATCAGCTGGAGGAGATAAAACCAAGGTAAGAGCAATCATGACAAATGTTTTGATTTTCAAGTTGTGTTGTCAAGATTTGTTAATGATTTTCTTGCAAACGTGCTGAAATGGATGAACATTTTGTGATTGCGAAGAAATTATTATTTAGAGTGCTGATTTTGTAAAATGTTTTGGAACCAATATTTATTCTAGATCATTTTAAAATATCCACATGATATTTTGATATTTTCAAGTAACTGTTGAGAATTAACAGAAGTTATTATTAATCTGAATCCTGGTTTTTAAACTGAAATTTTTTTTTTAAACATTCATCTTTTTTCTCGAGAATCATTTTAAAAATTGACTGGATTTGATAAATTGATTTTTCTACATTCTGAAGAATTGCTAAAGATTGTTTTGCAAACAGATAATCATCCCTGGATTGCAAAGGATTTATTATTCTGGATTATGACTTTCTGAAATGATTTTTTTCTTCAATAGTTTATTCTCAAAGATCATTCCAAAAAATCAATTTGGTGTACCATCAAGAAACCTTTTTCTTATTGCCTTCGCTTCATATTATTATCAACTTTATTTCAGAAATTTCGTTCACAAAATATAGTTCCATTATCAACATCAGATATAGCTTCTCTCACACATGATGGGAACGGATTCTTCCTGGAAGATTTGGAAGTTGGCCAGGTATGTATTAGTGAACTTGAAAAACAAGAATAATATAGAGAAGTCTGTACTCGAATACTAGTCTCCTAGAACAGTGTTTTGCAAATGGTGGGGCGCGCCCCACAAGGGCGGCATAGACAGTAAAAGTAATATGTATATGTAGTTTATTGTTAGCTATTTATTGTTGGGAGGGGGGGGGGCACAAGACTTGACAAATTCCAAAAAGGTGGCGCGGTTTAAAAAGTTTGAGAGCCACTGCTCTAGAATAGAAATTACTTTCCGTGGACTTCCAGTTCCAAATATATTTTTGTAAACTTCTGACAAATTTCATTACCTTAGGTTACATTATTGCTGACTTCGAAATACTTGATTAAAATTCAGTCAAGATAGAAAATATTCAAGTATGCCATTCCATCTTTTGCTGTAATGTTGTAATTTACTCCACATTTCTGAGTATAACTTGTCTTTTCAAGCATGCTTATGTTGTATTTGGTCTTGTAATATTCTTCGTTGTGCATTAATGAATATGATAAACAAACTAAATAATTGTCATTTTGGATTCTGTGCACTCTCAGCATTTTTCACCTATCTGAGATAAATATTGATTTACATCTAGGTTACTATTCTCGGAACAATCACACACGCAGATAAAAGTCAAACGAGTGTTACTTATACCATTGATGACACAACTGCAGCTCCTGTCAGCTTAAAACACTGGTGAGAATTCAAAGATCTTATATTTGCGAATTGAAATAAGCTTTATCATGCTGTATAGCCGACTTGTCGGGAGGCCTTCACCCCTAGCCCTGTGACGATGCTCTTCGTCTTTGATTGGACTTATTGGTCTACATGTATTTACACCATTCGTCCTGAACAAGTCCCTTTACAAGAAGCCACTTTTATATAAGCGGCTACTATTTGTTGGAAGAAACATAATCTTTCCTATTTGGCATTGGCTACCCAATTTATTGGCATGGGATGAGATTTGAAACAAAATGTATAACTATTGATGCCAATATAGTCAAGTCTAATTTTTCGCCAGTCGCACCAATATTGCATGTTGTGTCCTGCCACCCTGCCTGTATTTTTTTAAAAGTCTGGTTGATGCCACTCCTTGATAACCCATGCTTCTCTCAACTCCAGGTATGCCGTGGAAGGAGGGGAAGAGGGTGAGGCAGAGGAACAAGTCACATACAGTGAAGGAACTTACGTCAGAGTTTATGCTCAGATAAGAAGCTTCCAGGTTAATTTCCAGATTCCTACCATTCATTATTTCAACTAAACGTTAAATTTACTCGAATCCCAGTTCTCAAGCTTTTTATGCTACACCCCTTTTTTAGAATTTGTCAAGTCTCTCGACCCATTTAAAAAATAACTAGCTAACAATAAGCTACAAATAACAGATAGTAAGACGAAAGTTTGTTTTATACAAAAAACACGTTGATGGAATGTAAATATTCAAAATAAAAAAATGTTAGTATCCAAAATAAGGCGAACAAGATCAAATTCGGATAAATGATGAAAAGACAATTAAGCAGTTCTGAGCCCAGACCTGTAATTGAATTTTATATGTGCGAGCAAAAGTTTTGTAAAATTAATGTGAAATAGAAGGGACATGTGTTCGTTCACCTACATAAGAAAAAAATTCTAAAAAAAATGAATCAAATTTTTACACATTTATATTCTTGCTTAGTCTGATTCCATGCGATGCCAAGATAAAAATAAATAGTTCGCATGTCTGAGGATATTGTCAGAAAATTGTTAATATATCGTTGACAATTGACACCGTGATTCAATGCTCATCTTTGTGAAGATAACCAATCTTTTATACAATATTGCTCAAAGCAAGATCATGAGGGTAAAACTAGATCAGGTACTGATATGAATTTTGTGAGTTGTGAGTTTCCAGTGGCACTCAAGAGCTATACATTGATGGAAAGGTGTACCATTATAAGATACGAAAGTGCCCAATGATTTGCTAATGGTGTGAGCATTTCATCTTTTTCAGAATAAAATAAGTTTGTCAGCGTTAAAGATCAAACCAATAGAAGATATGAATGAACTGACGAGCCACATTCTTGAATGTATCAAATTTAGAATGATGATCAGCAAGAGGAAGAAAACTGGAGGAGATTTCGTAAGTTTATAACTTAAATCATTCTACTCTCATGTTTGTATATCCTACTTATTTCAGTTGAAATATGATAATAAGCAACAGTCTATATAAATTGAAGATGGCTTGCAAAGTTTTTATCAGATTTGTTTTTCTTGATAGTTTAGAGCTGGAGTCATATTTTACAAAATCCTCGAGTTTGGAATACTCTGGATTTTGAGCCAAATTTTTTCAACTCTCTGGAACCTGAATACTTTCTAACCTGGAGTCTGTTGTAAATTTTCCTTGACTTCACAGTTCACAGCCCCTGCACCACCGATAAACAATACTTTGGAATGTGCCATTATATTATCGGTTACCTACGGTAATTGATTTCATTTCGAAAGATAAGTGTCATGGTTCTTTTGGTGGTAGTCTGATTTTATTTGACAATTTCAATCTTTGAATATAAAATTAATTTATCAACTGGCTTATCATTATTGAGGTTTCCATTTGTGAGCAAATACTCGTATAGTCATGCTTTACGTGAGCACCCACTCTGTATGCTAACAGAAATTTATCTTATGCTTTTATTTAAAGTGATGCATTGTGTAGTCATCTCTTTGGCTGGACTGTATGACTGGCTGTATGCTAACAGAAATTTATCTTATGCTTTTATTCAAAGTGATGCATTGTGTAGTCATCTCTTTGGCTGGACCTGTTTTGAGCTATTTCATGAACATAGTGCATTTCATGTTTAAGACTAGAATTTTTCAGACTAATATTCGTTGGATATGCCCTATATATATATGGTTACTTATGTTGTGTGTATATATTCATAATAATTATTTTCATGCTGTTTAAAATAATAGTGTATTATAACCAAAACTTACTAATTTTTCATTTGTTTTATCCAGGGTGGTGGTGCGAATATGGGAGGTGGATTCACGAATGAAGCAGCTGGATCTTCCATAACTAATATGGGTATTGACAAAGTGCAAAGTCAGGTAATGTTGAATATTATTTACATTTTTTGTGTCACATCACTACGAAAGTACTTTCAAAGTGTTTAGACTAGGACTGCGAGGGCTGGGCAAATTGAAACCGGACTTGACAGTCCGAACCATTTTTAACTCTGGGGGCTAACAAAAATTTTGTCTCTGACTCTAAGTGGAATGAGATTATGACTTCAACAAAACCAAATTTTGATGTCAAAAACTTTCTGCGTGTATAACCTGTGTTTAATTAAGAATGCTGCATAAGGTTTCGTGTTTCACTTGTAAATTTGGTTTTCTGATATATCAAAACATTTTCTTGGAAACAATAGCTGGAACCGGCATATTACATCATTATCAAAAATGTTCTGGTGACCCCATTCTAAGCTCGCTATGATTTGTCAGTATTGCACGATTCACAAGACTGTGAAGAGAAGTCATCTGTACCTGGCACTAATACTCAAGTTTTGTGATTATTCATAATTTACCAGGTTTTTGAAATGATCAAAGAATGTACGGATGAGACTGGTGTCAGTGTCAACGATTTAAAACAAAATTTGAAAGGACTAAACATTACACAAATCAGGTACAAATTTTTCACACCATTTTACGCAACTATTGATGTGCCATATTTACTAAATTGTTTACATAAATCGCCAAGTTTCAAATTGATATACTTTTGCTACAAGGCCCATGGAGTCTGTTAAAATTTATAATCGTGGTCGGCTCCAGGTTGATAGTAATCCCTCCCGGAACCGGGAAGGGTAATCATAAATGCGTATTATCACCCTGAAAGTCAGACTCGATGAAAATCATAATTTCTACTAGACTCCGATGAGTTTAAAAATATGGACCAAACTCTAATGGAAACATGACAAACCAGAACCTACCATTCAGTTTTTTCTATTTCATTCCCTTTAAAGCCTATGCATTTGGTGGGGGTTTCATATTTTTCTGTCTGTTATTCATATCTCACTTATGTGCAGGAATGCTCTGGAATTTCTCAGCAATGAAGGTCACGTATATTCAACCATAGATGACGAACATTTCAAATCAACAGGATAATTTTGATCATTCATCAAGATCTTTTGTCAAGAATACTGACTGCCTTAATTGTCACCCTCCACTGCCATAATAATATTGTGCTATTGTGTATATATGGGAAAGACCTAAGGTTCAGCATTGGGCATAGAGACAACTTTAGACCCTGCTTCAGTGATGAATCGTTCCCTAACTTTTTGCTTTTTGTAATTCTTGAATTAAAACATTTCAACCATGTTTGGGTGTGTTACAAAAGGTTGTTTTTTTGGTTTTTATTATGAATAATGGTAGTTAGCTCATAAGGTATTAATATTTTCTCATGCGAAATATGTCTATGCGATTGTAGAGTGATTAGTAAAAACATGACTAGACCCTACTACTGTTGTGATGCCCATCGGAAATGGACTGGCGAGGCCCAGTGATTGGAAGGTAGCAAAATAAATTGAAATAGAGCCTCTACTTTTCATCAGCGCTTAGACGTGTAGCGAAGAACAATTAGAGTAACACCATTCGGAATTGATAGTTTGATTCTTATTAGAAGGAAATTTGTGGCCGAACCGTTCGGGTATATAGCTTGAAAACGAATGTAGGCAACTGCGTTTGCGACGCAATTGCGAAGATGCAAACGAGATACCGGCATCGTGGAGTCCGCAGTACCATGGAAACAGACCCAGACTCCATCTTGCAAGGACTGGTTTTAGTCTGTACTTTCCATATCCGCGAGCGTGTTAAACTTAATTAAAATGTCTCACAATAACATGGAGGTAACGTTAACTTGAAATTAGAGGTTATTTTGTAGACATTCATACCTCTCATCTCGAGATCCCTATTCTTGTTGAAAACCCGGAATATTACCCGGAGTTTGTGATATAAAAAGTAGCCAGAAGGATATTAGATACCCATTTATGACAACCGATACCCGCACGCCTTCGCGAATTAATATAGCCCAAGGCAAAAGCCCAACATTTTACGACTGACACGTTTCTGGTAGTGGTCGTATTTACCGGCAACCGGCAGTTCATTAATAAATGTAGTTTTTTTGATTTGGACGTTTTCGTGTTGTTAAATGTAACTGAATATACAATAATTTTGATTTGGTTAAAAATATTTAGCTTAGCATCTTCGAAATTTACAATATCTTTTGAATATTGAATTTGGTTATAGCCCTAGCGCATGCTCCTGTCATCACATTTTTCAGTCTTCAATTTACATTCTCAATTTCGCATACCATCACAGGAAATGTCGTGTTGATTTCTGTCGAATGGCTCATGTCGTATCATTGTTTGTCGGGAATAACCCACGGTGTACGGCACGTAGACCAAAGTAGTCATACTACTGTATAATTTCATTAACTGGAATTACTTGTATTATAGTTGGCGGCTTAAGAGTAAAGAACAGGAAATTGCGCTAACCGGCAATTCTGTAATTTGTACAGTCAGACAGTTGTAATAGTTCGTTCGTTTTCAGTTTAAAGTTTTAGACTATATGTGCTAGTTACAGAGTTGCTAAGTTCTTACAGTCTTAAGTTACCGTACGAGTAATATTGCAGTATTGTGATACTGTTTAGTACGGTATTAGTATTCATTTTCGAAGCAGAGACTACAACTTTAAATTAATTGAATCCGTTTCTGTAAAGTTTTCATCAGTTGTGTGGCGCAAAAATATAATCAAGATGCTGCCAATGACAAATAAAGACGGAGAGTTCAAGCCTGAAATAAAAGCTTGGGGCAAAATAAAAGGATGGATAAGGTGAAATGAATAAATTACACACTAAAAAATTACTTTATTTATGATCATGATTTAACCGAACAACACGGCAACCCCAAATACTGAAATAAAGAATAGCATTTTTTATATTTTCAGAAACCCTTTTATTACTCTCAATTTGTTGTTTGATTTGAGCTTTCTAATAATTAATCCTTCAATAAATTAAGTTTTGGAAGTTATTGGGATCATGTCTCATACATTAATATATTTTTTTGACAGGAACATCATAAAAGATCCAAATTCAAGAAATCTTCTATTCTTTCTTCTATTGAATTTATCGTTTGCTTTTGTGGAATTATTTTGGGGAATATGGAGTAACAGGTAATCTCTTTCTTTCACTGAAAACCCTGGTTTTGACAACTTTGAACAAAAATTCTAAAGTGTCTTCCAAAAATGCTCTATTGAATTTCCTCATTACAGCTTGCTCAATCTTGTAAAATTCGAATTATATGAGTAAAATGTCTATTTCAATTTTAGACATTAATCAATGGCATTTATGATTCTTTAAATTAAGTTGAAAAACTAAAATCAAAAGGTAGACCCACATCTTTTGATCAGTTACTATTCCATAATACGTTTTCATTTGGTATACTTTGGCACAGAAATAATTATTAAATTTTCATCTCAATTTTTCTACATTTTATATTTCAGCCTCGGTTTAATATCAGATTCATTTCACATGTTTTTTGATTGTACTGCGTTACTTGCTGGTCTTGCGGCATCCGTTGTTTCTAAATGGAAGGCAAATGAAAGGTTTTCTTATGGGTAGGTAATGAGTTTTAATTTTAAGCTATCAGTTCTGTAACAAATTTGCAAATTGAAGATTGTTTTACTTAAATTAATTAATGAAACTTAGTGATGATTGATTGGTTCCACTGTTTTAATATTGTTTTTTTCAAGCATTCAATTGTCAGCAATGCTTTTTCGAGACTAAGCAAAATATAGACCAAGCCGAGCTGTATGCTTCTTATTAATGACTCGTATTAATTAAAAAAATGTCAATTCAGAAACAAATGATCACAGTGGTTTGTATTCTGATTCTATGTGTAGAAGTTTACAGCAAAAATTAGGCGTTCATTCCTGAATACCGCAACATTATTTGTTAGAGCATTATCACTTATAGTTATTTCAGAATGATGTAGATTCATATTTTTTATTTCATCAATTTACATTTGCTCATTTCTCATTATCATGCTTTTAAGTAGTATGTATGAACAATCATATTAATTAGCAATACACATATATAAAATTAAAAATACTTTTTTTCATTATCATTTGTTATATGAAATATCATATAAATATGCTCTTTTCAAGAGCACAATTTGCTTAATATTATGCAAGCTGAGGTTTTTGTATATTTAATCAATGTTTGTACACATATGTGTACTGGTATATGTTTAAATGGGAATCCCTAATTCTGTGTTTATTTTCATTAGATATGTTCGTGCAGAAGTACTCGCTGGTTTCATCAATGCTTTATTTCTTCTTTTCATCTCATTTTTCATATTTTCTGAGTCAATTGAGGTTAGTTTTATCATTGTTTGTGTTAGAAGATTGTCTTCAGAGTTCATTTTGAAATAGGAATTTTTCTTAATGTGTTTGAAGTTTTGAATCAGAGTTGAAAAATCTACAAACTGGTATATATATCTTACAAAACCTTGGAAAGGATCCAATGTTTACAATGATTCTTTAAAATCTTATAAAGAGAAAAATTTTTCAAGTGTCTGCACAAATTTTATTTGCTAAATCATCATTAGCTTATTGCTCATTGGTCACTGTAATGAAAATAAACGAGGAAGTTGATGTTTGGGTAACATCCATTTCAGACACAGTTATATGTGCTCTTGCTTTCATCAATGTAGTTATTTTGGCAACGGTGCAATTTATATATAGTATGCAAATAAAACTTGATAAAATGGAAAATTATTAAAAAATTTTTTTTTACAGAGGTTAGTTGAACCCCCTGAAGTGAAGCATGAAAGATTATTACTTGTGTCTGTTCTCGGATTTTTTGTAAACATGGTTGGAATATTTGTATTCCATGGACACGGACATCATGGTCATTCCCATGGTGGACATGATCATGGCCATGGACATTCACATGGTGGTAAGCTTGAAACTAGTTCTACTTAAGTGGTGCATCATGCTAAACGTTAGGAATATGGATTACCCTGAGTGAGTTAAGAGTGTGTACTGTGTAGTTTAGAATTCTGCGAGGGAAGAGTGTGTTCGGGAGGATTGTTGAACTCCTCACCGCCCATTGGCCATTCCATCAAGCCCACGCATCTGAAACAAATAACTGTCTAACTAATTCATACCTGACAAGAACCGGTTTACAAACTATTTCAATAAATTCTCTTTGTCTATTTTGAAACTCTTTACCCCCCCCCCCCCCCCCTCTTATTATGCATTTGCTGTTCATTTATTTATTAGCTAGTGATATGCGTAACTTGCACTAAGGCTTTTGGACAGTTTTGTATTGTGGGCATAAAATATGTATTTCAATACTACTAAATGCAGCAATATTAGTTACACTACTGCTACATGCTTATACAAATCTCTGAAAACAGTTTTCCTCACTTAGAAGAATTTCCCCCTTGGTTGGGAAACTGGCTAGGAGGATAGGCTAATAAAAAATATACAAGTAACAATGTAACGCAGTACTAGGGTCCAGTACAGTCTTGATATAAACAACATCACTGGGCATTGTTCAATGTGAGATGCATTTCATCTGCATCATGGTAATTGCAGACAACAATTAACACAAACATGACTCCTTATTTTTAAGATTGGTTTAAATCAATTGCCTCGTAGTCGTATTTTAACATATTATTAAATTATTAATCTTTTTTGTAATTTCAAGATAATTTTTTTTTACTTGGCTATTTTTATTTATTCAGTCATTGAGCATCTGTATGTTTACTATATTTAATCTATTTTTTAGGTCATAGCCATGGTGGTCACAATCATGGACACGGACACGATCATGACCACGGACACGACCACTCCCATAGTCACGGACATGATCATGACCACTCTCACGCACATGATCATTCTCACGACCATGGACATGGTCACGGTGACCATCACGGCCACTCACATGGGCATGTACATCATGACCATTCGCCAGAAGCTTCTCAACATCAGATTTTACACAGTAAGCTATTTTTCCTAATGATCGAGTGAGACTTTGCCATATTTAATAAGCTCGCAACCCCTTACAGTATATGTAAATTCTCTATGACCCCTGTTCACGTTTAAAATGCTAAACAGTTCGACGCAAGCGTGTTGCTTCTCGGGTTATGCGATCAAAGTCGGGCATTATTATGCAAGCGAATCCTTATTTGGTCCTGTGTATTCTCTCGAAATCGTGAGATTTTAATAGGTTTTAATAATCGTGTTTCGAATCTAAAGTAAAAAAGTACAATAGATAAAGTAGTTTGTATGAAATTGGTGTACTCTTTGATCTAAAATTCTTTGCGCGTCCCCCCGCAGGTCGGAACCCCCAGTTTGGGAGGCCCTGATCTAAAATAATGATTCCCAGTGCATTCTCAAAAAATTCAGAATCATTGCAAAATTAAATTGTAGTTTGCAAAAGATAGGTTTGATATAATTTGGTGCAAGTCATCTGGTTAATATCTGGTCATGGATTATTACTGTTCCGACATCTTGCTTGATAGAAAACACATTTTCATCTGTGACACTGTTTCCATCAGAAAAGAAATTGCCTTGGGTGATGATATACTGATAGGGACTATCCATCGCATTTCAAGAATAATATGATTCTCCTTCTGTTGCCAGTGATTTCAATTCAAACCAATCCACTAACTGATCTCAATTCATTATTTTTCAGGTGTTTTTCTACATATCATGGCTGACACTCTCGGAAGTGTCGGAGTTATCGTGTCTGCACTTTTAGTTAAATATTTTGATCTTATGATTGCCGATCCTATTTGTTCAATGATGATAGCAATCCTTATCGCTGTCAGCGTTTTCCCTCTTCTGCAAGAATCAGTTGGAATTTTAATGCAAAGAACACCGTTGTCTCTTGATCATCAATTGCCTGGGTGCTACCAGAAGGTATACTTGCTATACTTGTACAGTCTGGGGAAATTTATAATCGATCAACACTATTGACTCTGGGTTGAAAAAAATTTTGATTTTGTTTCAGACTCAAGAAGTTATAATTTCGTTTTCTGATTCTAATTTGTAAAGAATTTCCACTCTCATTTGTAGCTCCAAACCCCAAAAAATCAAATTTTGATACAAAAACTTTGGTGTATGCAAGCCTTATGTAATTTATAGACTGTTGAGAACCCCTAATGAAATTACTGGTAGCCTATGTAACTAACACTGAAATATGATTAGGTACCAACTACCAAGCTTGTAAAATCAAACCGAGGACAGCTGTAAGTACGTACACCTGACAAAATAAAAACTGGACGAATTTGGGTGACCTTTATAGGGCTCAGTTGTTTCGAAACAAAAAAAAGAAATAGCCTTAGTATCGAAAATTGAAATTTATTGGTGAATCAGTTAAGGGAGAAAATTAATTTTTATCAATCAATTAGACAACTATAACACTAAAACAACAACAATTTAGCGAAACGATCCATATGGTCACTGTGAGTCCAATAATCCTATTAAATTTGTAGGTTTCCCCAGGGGGCCTATTTAGAAAACCCTGATCTAAGCTTAAAGCAAAAGAAATGTCTGGTCCCAGGCAAATTTTTATGTATGAGAGCATATTTATATTGCACAGTAAGTCATCGACTAAAATTTAGTTCTTCATTCTACAAGCCAATACATTCCTGTGTCATTTCGTTATTGCCTGACTCAATGAAACTTAATATTTTCTATAATGCATAATTCCCTCCTATTTCAGGTAATGCAACTCGAAGGTGTATACAGAATTAATGAACCACATTTTTGGACTCTATGTAGCGAAGTATTCGTTGGAACAATAAAAATACAGATTGCTCCAAATGCAAATCCAAGATACATCATGAGCCAAGCTCACTCTATTTTTGCTCAGGTAATCAGAATTTTATAATTTCATATAGTCAAATGTAGTTTATCTAGTTAAAAAGCGTTTCCACAAGAATCTAATGACTGGAGAAAACTCGATCATAAAAACTGCACCATTGACCAAGTGCAGTTTTAAAGATTCTGTGGCATCTGCAGCTGCCGCAAAACCATGGCGGTATTTCCATACCATGGCCGCTGCGGCCAAACCTATGGCGACTGACTTTTTAGCCGTCACAAACCAATGACAGGCTGCCGTTACCGCGGCAGCAAATTGAAAACCAATGGCAGGTAAAGTTTTGCTGCCGTAACTACGGCAGGTGGGCCGTAAAGACAGGGCTGTCCCTTATGGTGACAAATATGGGGTAAGTTGGAGCGTTTTCTTATGAATACAGTTTTGATGGATTTGGGGTTAGGGTTAGAATTTAAGTAGATAAAATTAGAATCTGGTACATTAATTTGTGAATATACCGTTAATACTGATTACTGGATACTGAATAGCGCTATAAAACCATGGCAAGAGCTGCCACGGTTCGTTCGTGGCAGGAGCTGCCATGAAGTGGTAAGAACTGCGCCTCCCATTGACTTCGAAAATATCCAGAGCTACAGATGAAAAAGGTTTTCTCAGAATTTAATTTCAAGCAAAGTCACTCACACTCATGAGTGGAGAAAACTAACTCACAAAAGCCTCACCATCGATCACTAAAGTACCAACAGCTACAGTTGAACAGGGTTTTCCTAAGGATTTAATTCAAGCAAAGTCACTCACACTTACTCATGTGTGGACAAAACTCACTTGGAACATCTCACTATCGTCCAATAAAATACCCCTTCAGTTAAGAAGAGGGTTTTCTAAGAATTCAATTTCAAAAAGGTCATTCACATTCACCCATGAGTTGGGGACACTCTTCTCAGCAAAGTCACTCCCACTTACCCATGTATAGATAAAACTCACTCAGAAAATCTCACTATAGTTCAATAAAATACCCTGAGCTTCAGTTGAGAAGAGTTTTTTTCTAAGAATTCAATTTCAAATGAGGTCATTCACACTCACCCATGTGTGTGGAGGACACTCACCTTAAAAACCTCAATGACATAGCAAATGCTACCAAAAAAGTACCTAAAATTTATGGCATAACAATATCATCAGCGACCCAACTCCTCATAAAACGAGAGAGCAATGCTCAAATATATGATCACAAATGGCTAAGGTTATATAAAAGTTCTTCCATATGCTATAAAAAATGGGCGCTCCAGAAGTGTGTGTACCAATATGGAGGTAACTGATTTTGTTCGCCTACTTTACATCGAGTTATGTGAAGTGAAGGGACTGAAACTTATGGGCAGGGGGGTATATTCACTTGGCTAGTCCCCGAACTAGTAATAGAACTAAAATAAGGAAAATTGGAATATAAAAATGGCCTACCCCTTACCTGGTACCCATAACGGCTTCTAACGACTTTTTTCATCTCGACTCTCGAGCACTGACAATTTGACATCTATTAATCCATTAGTTGTGGATTAATGCTTTATTTCTTCTAATAACAACAACAACAATAATTCAGCAAATAATTTTTGTGTTCTAAAGTTTGTTGTATTGGAGGCTAGTAGCCCATTTTTATACAATTAACAACTTCTGGGAATTCTCGCTTTTTGGCTTTTGTTGTGACTTCCTGTATTGATAATTTTCAGAACTAACATAATTCTATGAGGGAAATGAGGGAATAGTGAGAATGTCATTTGATACACGCTGTCCAGTGTCCAGGATATTTTCTAAAATAATTAGAAAAATTCAAATTTGAGATATTTTTTATTAGACTTGCAACAGTCAGTTCATATCATGTCTTATGATTTTGGTATTTCATTCTTTGGTACTCCCGTAGATGTCTACCAGGTTAGGGTTGAGCCATAATTTTATTCTGACTTTCTTTATTTTAGTTCTACTACGAGTTCGGGGACTGTCTGTGTTAGCCAAGTTAATATACCCCCTGCCTATATAAGTCCCAGTCGCTTTACACAACCTGATGTAAAGTAGGTGACCAAAATTAGTTACCTCCATATTGGTATACACACACTTCTGGAGCGCCCATTATTAAATATAAACAAAATTGTATGTGAACATGTATGTCTGTTTTGAGCAAGCATTAAAGTATTTCAGAGAAAAATTGTATCACTCTGAACAAGGCTCTATGCAAGCCAGCCTTAAATTGGTTTGTTTCGAATATTTTTTTCAATTTCTAATTTGTTATTTTGTCTTTCAGATCGGTGTTCGTCAGTTATATTGCCAAATTGATTTTACCTCTGTTTGACGAAGATTATGTGACATAAAGGTTTTCGTCCGAACAAATTTTTAGAAATTGTCTGAATATTGACTGGTGCCAAGACCTATTGTTAAATGAAGCATGACCAAATATATATTATTGGCTGTTTTTTATTTATCTGTATCTAGGATTTATTAAATATGCTAGAATTAAGCGAATTTTATTTTTTGAATCTTTCTTAGGGGTTCTCAAACGGGGTAAATTAGAACAGCATTGGGGGGTAAATTTTGCGGAGAAGAACGTACATGGTTTGGGATTCATTCTGGGAACCCAGTCTTGTTTTTTGTTTCGGATGTTAGAAAACCGCAGCAAATTGTAACATGTACTGCAAGCTGCAGCTAATGACTAGCTGTGTATATACCAATTTGGCATTTTGAAAGTTATGTATTAGATTTATGTATAACGTTCCATGAAAAGTTTCGATACCATTTTGAGGAAGTAAATTTTACTTTGGGAATTTTCCAAGAAGTAAACAAAGGTTGAAAGCCCCTGAATCAGACAACTTTTTCAGACAAGCCATTTGAATATCGATATATAGCATCTCTATTCCCTCTTTGCCTATCCTGTCATGTTAATGGCCAATGTTGATGTTTATTCATTCAATGAAAAAAATCTTGGATTTTTTTTAAAAACACAATGAATTCTTTGAAGCTTTCTATATTCATGCTCTATTACGGGGATGGCGAATCTTTTTCAAGGAATAGGTCACACATATTTTTATCCTGAATATAAGGAATGTGGGTAGTTTTAAGCCTACCTGGGCTATAATTATAGGTTACTGTTTCACGCTTATTTGTACACAAAATTTTGTGGAACACAATAACAGGTATCCCAAAAAACATTCTTTAGGCTCCTATCTGGTTTATGAACCTTCAATAGGAAACCGCTTTCGTAAACAGAAGTCGCTGCCAATAGATGCTAAAATGTTGGAGTTGCTGGAAATACAAATCAATTACCTTTTATGTCGTAAACAATGATACTTCATTATTGCTAGTAGCTACATACCAAAATGACTAATACAGTTCGCTTGTGCTATATTATTCTCGGTTTATTACAAATTTTTCACTGATGTTTTATTACTATGTTGGTTTGCTTCGTGACTTGACAGACATACATCTGTGGTTCGCCATCCCTTCTTTATAATGAACTCAAAACCTATCTTATGAAGCTCTTGTAATAGTGTTCAATATTTGTCAATCATATTTGGCTGCTTTTTTATTTTCACAAGACATATCTGAAGCTGACATATTTATTGTATTGAATTCCCATTTCTATGAAGTTCTATTTGTGGTTTTGACATTATTTTGGATAAATTTTCCAAATTATGGTATATTTGAACCTCATTTTGAAAATTGAACAGTAGATTGATTATTGACGGTGTTTTCAAGCCTGTGCTGTGAGCATGGCTCTATAGCAGTGGCCCTCAAACTTCCATGGTTTGTGACACCCATCCAAGAACTCACAGCGCTTGTGGGCTCACCTTGAGAAGCCCTGCTCTAGATAACGTTTTGGTACGGCATAGCCCACCCAATTTTTATTTACACCTCTGGTTAGACTGTGTTCATTTTTCAAAATGAAATGTGCTTATTGTAGATAAATATTAAATACAGTTTTTGAATAAAATTATATATTTGAGTTATATTTTGAAGAAGTTTGTTAGCAGAATAATTTTTGTTAAGTTTATATATAAAAACCGGAAGTATGGTATAATGGTTAAGCAATGAAATGCTAGTGAGGAAATAAAACTGCATGGACGCGGTTACCCAAAAAGGATAAAAAATTAATTTCAATCATACAAAATGATTTGAAAACTGTTACCCTCATCAATTTATTTTGGCCTGGTTTTTGAAATTCTAATTCTGCTGTCATTCTTATTTCTCGAGTTGAGACTGATTTTGTTTTTCAATAATCATAAAATAGGAATCTAGTAGGTGATGCATCTCCGAATGGTTATTCATCTACACTCTACAGCAAGCTACCTGTCTTCTTGTCTAACCATAAAAATTTCTGATAAGCTTTTTATTTTATTTTTTTGTTATGTTAAGTGAAGCTAGTACAGATTGTAGAGTCGATTTTGAAGAGATTTTTGTGCTTTTAGCATTTATATTGTATTGTTTCTGTTATAAAATGTTCAAGACTCCTGTAGCAGTGTATAATGTTTTCTCTTGCTGAGCTGTTTTTTCCTTTTTGCTAGATTTTTTGTTCATACGCCACTCTTCTATCAGAAATGTTTGGCTCTAATTTTGTGACTTTAATTCATATAAATTTATCAAAAAATACTGACTACTTGGTTGAAATGGAAACATGATTTTGACCTTCCGGCGCTAATTATTGTAATAAATAGTTCTAAACTAGTTGGACAATTTATCTTATCTGATGGGACTGGTGTTAGTATACATGGCTGGAAAAAAATTGCATATCTTGCGATTTTAAAATGGAATCATTGAAAACCCTTTTTTTAAGCTGTTTCGTTAGTGGATTATAAATTTCTTCAAAATTTGAGAATTTCATGACAAAACGAGGGAAAGGTTGGAATTTTGAGATATTGCTATTTGAAAAAATTACAACAGATGTTAGTTTTTTTTAGCTGTTTTTCTAGTCAAAGTTTGAACATTCACCAAGGTTCTCTAATAAAAAGTAATAAGAGTTTAGGAATTGAAAAGATCATTTTCTTAAAACAGTTTTTTTTTTTTAAGTTTTGCCATTTCGGGTTAAAACCCTCAAATTTAGAAGTACAAGTCTGAATTTTGATTCTCGTTTTGGGGTGTTTGAAAATATAACTCCAGTCCTGAAGCAATTCGATGAACAAAATGCCAAAGTTTTATTTCCCCATTTCCTTTGCTCTGAGCATTTTTCCCATGAAGAATATTGAGTAATTTGGGTAATTTGCTTTTCTGTTTCATCTTCATACTATTATCTTGCCTTGTCTGTTTACATGATAAGTACCAAATTATTACCAAGTTATTTTTGTGGTGCATTACTTTGTATTTTTGCTTCGAGACCTTATATTTTATTTTCAATTTATTTTGAGGTGAAGCATTTTCAGATTTTTAAATGTTTCGATAAGAAAAAGATCATATTTGAGGGAACGATATTTTTTTGGAATTTTCAAGCTTGATATTGTTTCCTCAAATTGTAAAGCATTTAATGTTAATAATTTCTGAAAATTACAATGATTGGTGAAATAATAGGGATTTTGCAGTACCCTATGGTTCCACCAGGTGGCGCCAATACAGTCCAGGGGTATTGTTCAAATATAATCAAATGCATATTAAGTTTGCCGCTATTATTTAAATTGCTACAATTAAAGATCATTTTGTGTTGCCAGTAATAGTTTTTACTCATATATATAGTTTATACTTATTGAACAGGTTTTGTTCCAGCCTTTAGAATGTTTCATTGGGCTTCTGCTTTACCGATAAGGTTGAAAACCACTGAGATAGACATATGAATATGGAAATGCCACATGATAATAAATTTTTTGAATTCACTACATGCTGCGGGAAAAAAACATTGAAAAAATCCTCAAAATCACTTTTTTTGACTGAAGTTGAAATGGAAAAATTAGCCATTACGAAACTCCCGGCAATTCTAATGTGTACCTGTTACAAAGAGTGAGTTTTATTGTTTAAAAGCAGTGACGTATTGAAAAAGTTTACAACAGCTCCCTCTTGGTCACTGGTTGGCAATTTTTAATGAATGATGTTGAAATGAGATACTAGTGTGGGATTACTCAAATAAATTTCAAATTCAAAATTTTTTATTGAAAATTTTTTTGATAAAAACTTTTCACTCTTTTCTCCCAGATCCGAACGGCCATCATGGCCCCGAGGCATTGCTGCTATACCCTAGATCTGACATGGGCAAACTACAGCCTGCAGGCAAAATTTTGGTAATTGGATCCGGTCCCGCCTGATGCTGCACACAACTAAACTAAAACCAAATTTTGTTGTTTTAGCTAGAAGGAATTGGTTGAGATTGTGATTAAATTTAGTTTTGGCACGAGGCTTATTGTTTTTGCTTTTGTGACACTGTAAATATTGTTCATAATCTGTAACTTTCCACTTACATGGCGGTGGTCTAGGTGGGCAAAGTTTTTGGCCCCCTTGTCCAAAAATATTGTCCACCCCTGCCCTAGATACACACACCACTGCTATTGGGACACAATTTGAAAAAAAAAACTGAACATGTTTCTTGAATTCTTTAAAATCCAAGCATTCCTGTAACTACAATCACATGCAAAAAGTGTAATTGAAGGAGAAAGGCTCTTAACTTGTTTTATTTAATTCATTGAAAATGCTCGAACACACAAACAGCATCAAAAGTGACGACTATAACAAATTTAAATTAGTATCAAGTGGCAGACATTGTTACCTTAAGCTGTTTTTTTTTTTGAGGTTTGTTTCCGGCTACCATATGATATTGTACTAGTGTAGTGCATAAGCGATATGAAGCTTTTGTGCAATAAAAATGACTATATAAAAGGCTCTTGGTTAGAATTTTCGGATAGGATTGTAATAATTAGGCCCGGTAGATTGAAGCGACAAGACTGCTTATCCATGTGGTATACCACGGCTTTGGGCCCTGTTACAAGTTTATGTCGGTTATGAGGCAGTTATTTGTTTCAGATACATGGACTTGCGGCAAAGGAAGACTTAACCGACCAGCGGTTACGGGGCACTCGCACATAATTATCCACCGCATGGTTGGAACCCATGCAGGGTAATCAGAGGTGCGGTGGAAGACGTTTTCTTAGTGCAATGCGCCACACCTTCGACTCTGCGCTGTCCGAAGTCGTAATAAATTTCATAAATAACGGTGAAAGAAAAATACTGAGTCACATTTACACTAGGCTTGCACGTAATTTACGGAATTATTTCGAGTTACGGAAGCGAAGTTATGAATTACGTAAATTCGTAATTATTGGTCGAGCGCTTTCGCGATTGAAACGAGCTCTCTTCAGAGCAGTCAATTCCGTCGATTGTAAAAAATTAAAGTTTGTTAGAGTTCCGGTATTCGCAGCCGTTTTTCTCTCTCTTGTTACGCAGATGGAGAAGGCATAACGCGTTGCCATTTACTAACCTATTATCAACTTATCTAGCATGGCAAATGGAAGAGAAATTGCGTAATGAACCAACGCAACTTAGTCTTCTCGGCATCGGTAAAGCGACTCAGACGACAGAGAAACAACAAAATGACGGGATTTCCCATGTTTATTCTGCGCGAGATCCATTTTCTATTACAAAATCTTGATGTTCTGTTACCGGTTTTATCGTTATTTATCTGTCCGTACTTGGCCTTGTTTTCACAATGCCTCGCACTATTTCGGCCAAATATGTCTTTACAAAATCTAAAATATATTTAGTCACTCTACTTTCAAGCAAGCTTTCTGCCTCATCTTAGGTTAAGTTATTTTACTGTTTCATCACGTCTCGGCGCTCGCGGAGTCGCAGGTAAATACTACCACGCACCCTGCAAGTTCATTATGGAATGTGCTCGATCATCGAATGTTCGAAAACAACTTCATTAAATAGGGGCTTCATTTATCCGTAATCCACTTCTGCAAGTTTCTAGAAGAATTTTAAGAGACTATATATACAACACAGAAGTGACTCACAATACTCACTGAAATTCTGCACTACATCAGTAGCAGTGGTGTTCGCCTGAACCAGTTCCTGAAATGCCGTGTTAGTCAGCGAACCCGTTCTTGTTTTTTTTTGGTTTAGAATTTAGTAAGGTTTTAGAACAGGCGCCAAAAATTTTGTTCACCTAGACTGGCAGGCCATGTATATAAGTATTATGTAAAAAGTTACATTTTATGAACAATATTCACAGTAATCAATCCCAAAAATGGCAAACATCAGTTTTAGTTTGGTTGTGTCAGCACCAGGCGGGCCAAATTGAATTACTTACCGGGCCGTGTTTGGCCCGCAGGCCGTAGTTTGCACATGTCAGGGTTTGACGACATCAGCAAACGGATTACGTGCACCACCGATTTGGTGTTTTGCAAGTTGCGTACTAGATTCTTGTAAAGCGGTTGTCATCGATACAAAAGAGAACCCGTTCCTAAAATTTTGAATCCCACCAATAAATAACAAGTAGTACATTTTGAAACTATTCATATCCAATGTTTTCGTTGAAATCGTAAAGACAAATTATCTGTGCACATCACAAGTTTTCTGATTGTAATAACACCAAAAATTATTTTTACACACACATAAACATAGCAATACATTGAGTAGTAGTGGTATGTAGTAGTAGGCAACATATATAAACACCCGAATAGTGAAGCCTATCCAATAAGTAATGAGTTTATTCTTGAATAAAATTTCCCCAGCCTGTTTATGATATATATAAGTTTGTGTAACAAGTTGCGTAAACTTGTGTTTGGGTTGGTTGTTCATCAATTTAATTAATATTCACACAAAGCTCCCATTCTTGTCCATCCTAAACCAGCATTGTGTAAACCTTGAGTTATTGACTGCGGATTCATTTTGGAGGCCAAGCCTATCAAATTTTCTTCTGGCAAAGTATTAGGATAGCCGGTGTGCCAAGGAAATGTGGGTGCTCTTGCTCCGTTTGAAAGCATCACACGTTTAGTCTGAAAAACAAATAATTGATTGTGTTGTGTTACAAATACAGATGATAAAAATTGGAGGATTGAAAAAATAATATTGCATTCAAAAACACTTCTTGAAACTCAGGACTGTATTAATACGCCGTTGTTAAAAAAAAAACGACGGCACAATACCTGATTCCGGTGATTTGAGGGGGGGCAATTAATGATAACTGAAACATTACTGGCAAATTATCATTTTTTGTTCAGGTTGACTTTTCTACGATGAAAAAAAGAATCAAAATATAAAAAGTACAATAGGTCTCAGATTTATTTTTGGCTAGATATATTTATACCGCTATACATATTTTTAAGGAAGACTGAAGGATTTTTTATGGCAAAAACTGCCTAATCCATTTCAATCGGCATGTTTTATTTTTAACGTTGAAGAGATAAAGTTTTTTTCCAATTTACACAACACCATTCAATCGACCGTATTCAATTTTTAAAACGTTCAAAGGACAACATTTTGAACAAGAATTAATAATCTGGGTAAAAAATCAAACAAATCTCAACTTTATGAAGTTTAAAACCGGTTTTGTTCTGGAACAAGCATTTACAATTTAAAAACGACTTTAAAATGGACAAAAGAGCAATGCTCAAATATATGGACACGAAAGCCTATTACCAAATCTTTTACAGTACCTGTAGTAGTAGCTAACCCCCATATCGCTGATATAAAATCACGAACAACGGCACCATACCATAACAATTTGAAGTGAAGAACGAATTACATATGCCACACAATTTTTTTTTAATTAACAGAAGTGATGGCCTTCTAGCGACAACCACAACCACCGAAATTGAATGTCTTAACCCCTGGTATTACTTACTCTTGTGTTGTAGGTCATTCCAAGCCATACATAAATATTTCTTGATTCTTTGCGTAAGTATTCAAGTATTAAGTTGTAGTGTTCCATTGAGTAAATATTTGCAAGCTTCCAACCTTTGGACTTGCACAGATTGCCACCCTCTGTATACTGAACACCCGATTCTTTATGCAAAATGACTTCAAAACATTTTCCATTGTATAACAGCGTGGGGCAATGGTCTGAAATAAAAACCAGTGTAAATATGCAAAATAACATCGAATTGGTCCAGTCTTAAATTAGAATAAAATTCAATCACTACCCTGCCCAGTTTAGCTGCTATTTAATGGTGTATTGAAGTTATTTCAAATATTGCTTTGACTAGGCCGGGGTGCCGAAAATTTTTGCCCATCCTGGCTAGCGAGCTGACCACCTAAGGGGGACATAAAAAGTTACATTTTATGAACAGAATTTTATTTACAGCGTCACAAAAGCAGAAACGGGAAACAATAAGCCTCGTGCCAAAACTAAATTTAATCGCAATATCAACAAATTCCTTGAGCTGTTTTTTTTTTTTAAAACATCAACATTTAATTCTAGTGTGGTTGTGGCAATTTTCAAAAGAGAATCGAGATGAGTATCGGTCAATTGAAATCTGTATTCAGATTTGTTGAGATTCATTAGACTGATGGTCTGTTCACAACCACAAGGCGAAAGAAAGAGATGTGAAAAGCACGCCATCGAATCAAGTGAATGAGAAAACGTAAAGTTTTGTCAACGTCCTCATAACGAGAAAGTCTATGGCAACCTAAAATACAACTTACGCAGACTACAATCATAACCTAACATATTGTACAACTTCCGATAACAACAACTATGTAGTGCATGCAGAATTGGGT